CCAAGCAGCATCATATGATGCTGCTTGGCCTGCTGTGTTCATCCAGCCCTGCACCTTGTTGTCTCATGTTTGGAATTGTCTGATTTGCTTGCTTGTATGTGATGTTCCCTTACTGGTTAGTGACATGTTGCTGGTCTCCAGTAGGCACTGGGGACAGAGCAGCAGACTTGGGGTGTAATAGTTGGGATGTAGCTAAAGACAGGTAAACTGTGCAACCTACTGGTTAAACGGTGACTAAGACGAGAGGATAGGATGGTATTTGAGATGAATATGTGAGCAGAATGGTTTTATGACTGCTGTGCCATTACGTTGCCAGTCAGAGACAATGCAAAATTGCCAATGCAACCTTTTAGAGACAAGTTGGGTATGAGGGTGCCGGTCTTTCAGCAGTTTTCTGACGGATGGTGAGTTGTTCTGGGAATGGCACGTCACAAGATGGGTTAAAATTGGTCGGGTTGGCTAGGTAGTTTAATGAGCCACTTTTGATAAGATACAGCAAGAAATCTCATGAACTCTCAGTGAGAATCCCTCCAAAAATCTCAGTATAATTTGTGCTTAACCAAAAAAACATACGATTCAGCTCAACATGTATTGAATGGAATGTATTATTGTGTGTGTGTATTCTTATTTAACTTTTTAAAATGTATTTAATAATTATCATGCTGACAGAATAGTGCAACAGTGCTTCATTGATGCCCAGAAATATAACGACATGCATCAAAAAAAAACACAGGGATTATTTTCACCAGAAATTAAGATTTTGTAAATGGATCCTTTCTTATCCTTAGAAGACCATAAGATGCCAATCTCTGACACTGACACTGGCAATATACTCAGTCCATTCTCGCACTATGAGCTGCCAGTCACTGACTCTCCGCATGTCATCAGTCCAATCCCTGAACCTGCTATGATAGGGAAGGATGAATTTACAGGTACTTCTAACAATACTTTTGTTTTGTTTTGCTGTGGATAAAGCAATGGAATAAGCAGTATAAGCGTGTCAAGGGTTGTGCTGCAAAAGCCAGTGGGGAGTACATTGCAGATTCTATGCCACACTTTTACAGTTACATGAATGGTTTAGTTGTGTATAAATATATGAAGAGCCCTAACTGCTGCATTTCTTGTGGGTGTTACCTAATTTGCTCATCTCTTTTGGATTATTTGATCAGCACACTCATTGTATGAAGTTTAGGCCCCAGATTTAAGGAGGATTGCAAGGTCTTGGGGTGCGTGGAGAATAAATTCATTAGAATGGTATCAGGGATGAAGCATTGTGGAGAGGCTGGAGATGCTAGGATGAGTTTTCTTAGGAAAAAGGTGAAAGGAAAATGGAACACTTACATTCAAAAGTCTGAGCATTTAGTGTACATAGGGAGAAACGTTTAACTCTGACATGGAAGTCGGTTAACAAAGGATTCAGGTTTCAGTAGAAATAGAGTTGACAAGAATTTTTCCACATGCCTCTGTCTTATGATCTGCTTTGCTGCCTGAGCCAACTCCCGTTTAAAATTCTCAAATGCATTTGGAAATTTCAGATATACATCTCCGGCACTGCCTTCACCAATCCTTTTTGGTTACCTCATCACAATGCTATTCGGTTAGTCAGGCATAATTAGTATTTTAACAAGATGATGTTGGAGTTTCTTCATTCTTCCTTTGGTTTCAAAATGAAAGTTTACTTATTAATGGTTTTCAGTAACTCCCATCACTAATCTTAGACAGACTGTTCTGTAGTCTTCTCGTTTCTCCCTAACCTTTTCTCAAATATAACTTTAGCGAACATGCAGTGTCCTAACACAAACTTTGATCCTCTATGGATTGAAAGATTGTGACCATTGCCAGTGCTGTTTCATCCTTTGATTCATTCAGTTATCTCAGAAGCATTATGTAGAGTTTATTACTGTATGAAATATGAATTAGACACAAAATGTGTAACTACACTGGAATCCTATTAAATACTAATAAAAAATAGACCTGTTGTGTTTCAGTATCATAGTAGGGTTAGGTTTAGGCTGAGTGTGAATCAAAAATATTCATCAATAAATCTCGAGTTATTTTCAAGAGACATTATATTCCCTCTTCCCCCCTGCAGGCCATCATGTACCAACTCCTGACACTCCTAATGTCTTCAATTTAATCTCAGAATATAAACTGTCTGTCACTGACACCGCTAATATATTCAAACCAATTCTAGAATCTGAACCTGCAGACATAATGGAGAAAGAAGAGACAGGTATTTCTGAGACTATTATTCTACCTGGAACATGAACTCATGAATAGAGTAAATAATAATAGATGAATGTTGATATTTGTATTAATGCAAGATTCTGATACATGCTGTAGGTGCTATGGCACACTTTTACAATTAAATAAGTTTGATAGTACGTTGAGTCACATACAGTTCATTCAGTGTTGTGGCACAGAACATGAAATGAGCAATCTTCTGCCTACCTCTTGGATCATATGTAGCTTACTTCCTTTTATTGGATTTTTTGTCAACATTGATATATAATTGAGCTTTCAAGCTCAGCTTAACTAGAAACTATTAACCCATCAAGACTGTGTACTATTTTATTGAATGAATTTGGTTTATATGGTGGCAGCCATATTGCTACATGGACTATCCGTTATTATATCACATTGTTATGAATGTTTGCAAGGCATTTATTCTAATTGCATAAAGTGCAAAAAATGAGCAAGGTACTACATTTCATGGAGATTAAGACTTTTTGGTTGTCACAGTGGTCAAACTTGGTCAAAATACTTGATCTCAAAGTTTAGAGAGTGCTATAAAATAAACACATTCACTATGGTGTGAACTTTAATGGATAACAATTAATGTTTACAGAGTGGAAGCAATGTTCGCGCATTGAGTGTCTGTTGCTATTTCAGTGTTGTATGAATCTTTTTCAGTAATGCTGAGTGAATTAATGCACAGTTAAATTGAATATTCAATGAAATGTATTGTGTGCTGTATTTGGTTAGTTTTAACTGTGTTTGATGACTATAATAAGAGAATACTGCAACATTGTTCAGAAATACAGTTGTGTTCCTTAAACCAGTACAGAGATTATTTTCACTACTGATTAAGAATCTTGTATTTGGATTCCTTCATTATCCCCAGCAGACCATGAGATGTCAACCTCTGACATTCGCAATGCATTCAGTTCAATCTCAGACTATGAACTGCCAGTTACTGATTCTCCACATGTGCTCCATCCAGTCCCAGAACCTGATCCTGCTAAGATAGGGATGGATGAATTTACAGGTACTTCTGACAATAATTTTTTAATATTAGCAAAGGAATGGGGTAAAGAGTATAAGCGTGTTAAGTCTTGTATAACTGAAACAGGGAACTGGAGCTCAATCTATAGATTCTAAACTATACTTCAGTGAAATGAATGGTTTACTTGAATCTGAAATCCAATCATCAAGGTATGTGAAGATAGCAAGCTGCTGCATTTTTGCAATTTGTATCTCTCTTTTGGATTATTGACTGGCGTGCTCATTTCAAAAGTTTGGGCCCCAGTCTTTAAAATGGCTTGGAGTTGGCTTAGAATAATTTCACTAGAGTGGTAGCAGGGCTGAAGACTTCAGTTTAACTATTGTGTTAAATTTAGTCTGTTCCCTGGTTGTCTCCAGGGCATGCCATTTTAAGAAACTACCCTGAAAAATTGCAATGAACTGCTTGTCTAGGCTACCTTTGCCCATCTAACTTTTCCAGTTGAAACGTAGATTAAATGTTCCCTTGATTAACACTATGCCCTTCTGACAAATTCATGTGTTTCTTCCTTTGTGCCCACCATCTATCTAGTTACTGTTAGGAAGCAAGTATAATACAGTCATCCAGTCTTCTGACACCAATCGTCTGTCTACTGAGGATTGAAAGATGTTGCTTCCTTTTGACCTTTTGCTTTTTTCTTTACTTTGGATGCATCATGTACAGTTCAGTATTGTATGAAATGTACTGTAGTATATGGAATTTATTGAAAGATGGAAGAATGTGATCAATTGTGTTTTAATGCAATGATGTCCAGAAAATTCATTATGTTTAATAATGAAGTGATTTTGAAAAGAGATTATGAATACTGCATTCGCATTCCTTCTTATCCCCTACAGACCAATATGTGCCAACTCCTGACACTCCTAATGTCGTCAGTTTAATCTCAGAACATAAACTGCTGGTCTCTGACACCCCTAATATATTCAAACCAATCTTAGAATCTGAACCTACAAAGACAGCTGAGAAAGAAGTAACAGGTATTTCTGACAATATTTCTGCCTGGAACATGAACCAAGTATTTGAGTAAATAAGAAGTGCATGTTGAGATCTGTATTAATGCAGGAAAAATTTCTGATGCATGCTGCAGGTGCTATGCCACACTTTTATAATTAAGTGTGATAGTACAATGTCTCGCATGCAATTCATTCAGTATTGTGGCACACAGTATAGGAAACAAGCAATTCACTGCCTATCTCTTGGAATTTGTGTTTTGTTTCTCTGTATTGGATTCTTTGGTCAACATCCTTATTTCATAGCACTTTAAGGCTGTGCTTGGGTGGTGGGTATCTTTCAAGGCTGTGTTGTCATGAATTTTATTGGGTGATTAATTGGCTTTATGTGATTGGGGCAATTTTACTGCATGAGGTATCTGTTATCATTTTACTCTACTATGAATCTTTTGGAAGGCATTATTGACAAGTCACAAAACATAGAATGAACAAATCACTGCACATTTAAGGGTAAACAAGCATTTTTGTTCTCACCGCTCAATTATTTGCTTAGCACACATATCCTAAAGTTTAGGCACCATGCTTTGCTATGAATTGTGTGTCGAACTATCATCACTTCATTGTCACAATCATTGTATGGTAAGCTACTTTTACATAGTGAAAGCAATGTTGGTGCATTGAGTTTTTGTTGCTTTAACTCTATTATATGAATCTTTTAATTTTAATAGTGTTGTATAAATTAGTATACGTGGTAATTAGTGAATGTAAGTTACTTGGACTTTCAGAAGGCTTTCAGTAAGGTCCCATACAACAGATTAGTGTAAAATTGCATGATGATTGCACAATGTTCAACACCACTCATGACCACTCATACTAAGCAGTCCTTGTCCACATGTAGCAAGGCCTGGGTGGGATTCAGTCTTGGGATAATTAATAATGAGTTATATTCTTTGCCACAAATGCCAGGTAATGGCCACTTCCAACAAGAGAGATTCTCTTGACATTCAATATCATTATCATCAATGAATGTCTCACTATCAACATCCTTACCATTGACCAAGGACTGAACCAAATCATCCATATAAATACTGCTGCGACAAGACAATGTTAGGGCCTTGGAATTCTGTAGCAAATAAGTCACCTGACTCACCAGTGCCTGCCCACCATCTACAAGGCGCTAGTTAAGAGTGTGATGGAATACCATCCATTCGCCAGGATAAGTGCAGCTCTAGCAACGCTTGGGTAGCTTGACACCATCCAGGATAAGGAAGTCCAGTTCATTGGCACTCTGTATAACACCCTGAACATTCACTCCCTTCACTAACAATGCACAATGGCAGCAGTGTGTAGTGTATACAAGATGCACAGAATCAGCTCATCAAGGCTCCTTCGACCGCACCTTCCAAACCTGTGACTTCTATCATCTAGGACAAGGGCAGCAAACATGTGGGAACAACACTACCTGCAAGATTCCCTCTCAGTTGCAAATTGTCCTGACTTTGAGCCATATCGCTGTTGCTGAGTCAAAATCTTGGAACTCCATTCCTCACAGCAATGTGGGTGTTCCCACATGCCTGAACTGCAGCAGTTCAAGAAAGTAGCTTAACACCTCCTTCTTGAGCAATTAGTGGTGGGCAGTAAATACTGGCCTTGCCAACAATGCATTCATTCCAGGAATGAATAGTAGTAAAACAAAAATCTGGCATAGTGAGTGTCATCCATGTTCCATTCTTTTGAATAAAGGAAATAAAAACTGACCCTTGATGAAGCTACTGTAAATCACCTCCCAGTCTATGAGGCACCAGTTGCCATCACTTTCTGTTTTGTATCACTTTTTGTATCCATATCACAGCATTAATTCCATGGATTCCACCTTAAGAGGCCTCCAGTCTGCTACTTTGCTGAATGATTTGAAAAATTCCAAAACCCAGGCTAATGTTCTGGAGACACTAATTCAAAACCAAAGGTAGCAGCTGGTGGAATTCAAGTAGTTCGATTCATACAGCTAGAATATAAAGGTAGTCTTTGGAATGGTGAACATGTCATCTCCCATTGATTCTTGTAAAAACCCATTTGATTTACTAATGATGATTAGGGAAGGGAATTCGCTGTCCTTACCTGGTTTAGCCTACTTGTGACTTCAGACCTTCAGCAATATAATTAATTGTTAACTATCCTCTGAAATGGCACAGCAAATTCTGGAGATTAAGGGAAATTAGTGATGGTCAATAAATGATGACCGCACCTGCAACTCCGCATGCACTCACCCCTCCCCCACATGCCCCCCCCCCCCCCCCAATACGATCCATATCCTTTGGACCATCATGTACCAATTTGCAATGCTCATAGAGTCTTCAATTTAATCTCTGATTATAAACTGCTGGTCACTGACACCCCTATTGTATTCAAACGAGACTTGCAATCTGAACCTGCAAAGATAGAGGAGAAAGAAGTGACAGATATTTCTGAGACTATTTCTGCCTGAAACATGAACTCCTAAATGGAGCAAATAATAATAATGTATGTTGAGTTGTGTGTTAATACAAGAGAGGATTCTTGCAGATGCTTTGGCACACTTCTTTAATTAAATAAATCTGATAGTCAGTATGTTGCCTCACACACAGTTCATGTTGTGGCACGCAATACATGAAATGAGTCTGGAATTTATGCATTTTGCCTCTCTCTATTGGATTCTTTGGTCAATATCCTTATGTTATCGAGCTTTGAGGCTGTGCTTAGCCAGAGAGTGACTTACAAGTTGCACTGTCACAAGGTTTATTGAATGATAATTATGCCTTTATGGAGCAGTTATTCCATGGGGTATCTGTTATCATATCATTATCTTATGAACCTTCTGGAAGTCATTGACTGTCTTCACACACTGCATATAAAATGAACAAATCACTGCACATTACATGGAAATTAAGCACTTTTGTTCTTACCATTCGATTATTCACTCAGCAAGCTAATTTCCTCAAGTGTAGGGATTGTGTTTTGTATAAATTTTGTCAAACTATAGAATCACCAAGTCATTGCATGTTTTATGGAAAGTAGTCTTTTTTTCACACAGTTAAATTATTCGCTCAGTACAATTATCTCCTAAAGTTTAGGCATCGTGCTTTGCTATAAATAGTTGGTCTATCATCACTTCAGTGTAAAATAAATTGGATTGTAAATAACTTTTACATGGTAGAAGCAACGTTGGTGCTTTGAGTGTCTAGTGCCAGGTTACTTTCATATGAATCATACCATGGAATTCATAGCTGGAATTAATTATTTTACTCTCACTGTATATAATTTAGCATTGAATTGAATGTATTATTATATGATGTATTCAGTTACTTTAGAGTATCTATTTAGTATTAGAATGAGAGGATACTTCAACGGTGATCAAGAAATACAGATATATTCCTCAATTTAACAAAGATTATTTTCACTATTGACTAAGAATTTTGTCTGGATTCCTTTTTATTCCTAGCAGACCGTGAGGTGCCAACCTCTGATACTCGCAATGTGTTCAGTTCAATCACAGATTATGAGCTACCAGTCACTGATTCTCCACATATCGTCAATTCAATCCCAGAATTCGAGCCAACTAAGATAGGGAAGGATGAACTTACAGGTACTTCTGATTTAAAAAAAAACTCCTTTGCTCATACCGAAAATGTAATGGAGGAAACAGTTTGTGCTGTGAGTCTTGAGTTACTGAAACAGTGCGTTCGGGCACAACCTTTTGGATTCCATTCCATATTTTTGCGGTTAACTGTGTGCTTTTGTTGATTTGTGAAATGCATTCATCATCGAAGCATAAAGTATATGAAGAGAGTAAACTGCTGCATTTCTCCTCCATGTTATAAAATTGATCCCTTATGGATTATTTGATCAATATGTTCAGGCCCCAACTTTAGGCATATCAAGATCTTGAAGTGAGCTGGGCAGAGATTCACTAGAATAGTAGCAGGGATGATGACTTCAATTTTTGGTGATCCTGGGGAAGCCAGGAGACTACCATTGAAACAAAGAAGGTTAAAGGAAATGGAATACTTATGTTCAAAATTCTGAGGAGTTTAGATCGAAATGTATAGGGAAAAATGCATTTTGAGTGATATTTTGTTATATTTCTTTGGGAAAGTCCAATTTCTGTTACCCTTAGTAATGGCTTTCCGTAACCTCCATTGCACTGCTGTTTGCTGAAGTTCTCTGGTTTCTCCCTGACCCTTTCTTATATATGCATCCAAACATACAAATTAAAAACAAGAGTAGGCCTCGCAACCTCTCCAGCCAGCTCTTCCATTCTGTAATATCATGGCTGATCTAATGGAACATTACATTGGCCATTCTTTTCTGCTTTTTACATTCTGTGCATAATTGTGTGTCTTTTTTTAAAGTTTTATACTATCTTTAACATTCTTAGTTAGCTGCAAATGGTGGGTACATCCCTTGGACTTTTTCTTACAGAATGGATACATTCCGATGAATATAAGCTGAAATATCTTTTTGTGTTTGTTCCTGCATTTCTATTGACGTATCATTAACTTAATTTACCAATTATCTTTACCCAGTTCTACTATGAGATCATTAATTAACCTTATCTCTTTGAACATCATCTGCTTCTTCAGACTGTGCTGTTTTAAGAAACTACCCTGAAAATATGCTATAAACTCATGTTCTAGCCTACTTTTGGCCATCATCTGACTTATCCCATCAATGTGTAGATTAAAATTTCCTATGATTATCATCGTGCCTTTCTGACAAACTCTCAGTATTTTTATTTTTATGCCCCACCCAACTGTGTGGTTACCGTTTTGTCAGTTTTCTGACACTACTCCTTTATCCACTGAGGACTGAAAGACTTTACTGTTTATTTCTACTGTTGTTTCCTTCAGTGGCCTCGGATATACTTTGTAGAGTTTATTATTGTATAAAATGTATTATTTGATTAATTAATGTGTAATTTCAATACAATTTATTTAAAATGATAATGGAAGAATATAACTGATTTTGTTTCAATATAATGATGTCTAGTAAATCAAATACATTTATCAATGAGCTGCTGGAATGATTTTAAAGAGAGCTTATGAATGTTGGATTCGCATTCCTTCTTATCCCCTGCAGACCATCATGTGCCAACTCTTGACACCCCTAACGTCTTCAGTTTAATCTCAGAACATAAACCGCCAGTCACTGACACCCCTAATATATTCAATCCAATTCTACATTCTGAACCTGTAAGGACAACATGGAAAGAAGTAACAGGTATTTCGGACCATATCTCTCCCTAAGCACTTGAATATATAAAAACAAGCACATGTTGAGGTTTGTGTTAATGCAGCATATATTTGTCTGTCATCCTGTCATTGCTGTGCCACACTTTTACAATTAAATACGTGTGATAGTACACTGTCTTGCATGCAACTCTTTCCGTTTTGTGGCCCACTGTATAGGAAGCAAACAAACCACTGCCTCTCTCCTGAAATTTATGCACTTTAATTCTATTTATCAGATTCTTTGGTCAATATCTTGATTCTGTGGAACTTTAAGGCTGTTTTGGCTAGACACAGAGTTTCAATACTGTACTTTTATGATGTTTATTGAATAATAATTAGCTTTTTGTATTGGAAGAAATGTTGCTGCGTGGAGTATCTGTTATTATATCACTCTCATGTGAACCTTTTTGAAAGGCATGTGTAATTGCACATTTCATGGAACTTTAAGCATTTTTTAAAATCTTAGTTCACTTATTTGCTCAACACTCTGAGATCCTAAAGTCTAGGCACTGTGCTTTGCTACAAATTGTCAACCCATCATCACTTCATTGTGACATTCATTGTATGATAAGTTACTTTTGCATAGTGGAAGCATGTTAGTGCATTTATTGTCTGTGGCCATGTCATGATCCTCTGATTTTAAAAAATAATATTTGAATTAATTCATTTTCACTCAGTAAAGTTTAGGTTTGTACTGCATTTGATGTGCAGAAATACAAACGTATTCCTTAAAGCAAAATAGGAATTATTTTCACTATTGATTTTGAATTTTGCATATGAACTCCTCCTTATTCCTGGCAGACCATGAGGTGCCAACCTCTTGTTATGAGTTCAGTTCAATCTCAGACTATGAGCTAGCAGTCACTGACCCTCCCCATGTGCTCCATCCAGTACCAGGATCTGAACCTGCAAAGATAGGGAAGGATCAATTAACAGGTACTTCTGACAATAATTGCGTTTTTGGTATTAGCAAATGAATGGAATATATAGTTTAGGCATATTGAGGTTTGTACAATTTAAACGGAGTTAGGGCTCACTCTATAGATTCTATCACACACTTTAGCAGTTAAGTGAGTTGTTTAGAAGATAAATCCTATTTGTCATTGTTATGTAAAAGTATGAAAACAGCAAACTGAAGTATTTCTTCTGCATTTTATGCAATTTGTTCATCTCTTTGGATTATTTGATCAATGTGCTCATTGCATGAAATTTATGCTCTTGACTTTAAGAAAGATATCAAGGCCCTCAGGTGAATGGAGAATAGATTGATAGGAATGATAGCAAGGTTGAAGTTTTCAGTTTTGTGGAAAGCTTGGAGAAGCTGGGATGATGTGTGACCGAGTTGAGAAAATCTTTCTTCATTCAAAGTGTAGTGATAAAGTTGAATGCTGTACCACAGAAGGCTGTGGAGGTCAAGTCACTGAACATGTTCAAGAAAGGGTTTGAGTTATAAGGAAAGGCTGGGACTTTTTACCCTGGAGTGTCAGAGGCTGAAGGGTGACCTTTTGGAGATTTATAAAACCATGAGAGGCATCGATAAGGCAAATAGCCAAGGGTAAGGGAGTCCAAAACTAGAGGGCATAGGTTTAAGGTGAGAGGCAAAAGATTTAAAAGAGACTTGAGGGCCAACTTTTTCACACAGGGTGGTGCATGTATAGGATGAACTGCCAGAGGAAGTGTGGAGGGTGGTACAATTACAATATTCAAAAGACATCTGGACAGGTACGAGAATAGGAAAGCTTTATAAGGATATGGGCCAAATGCAAGCAAATGGGACTGATTCAGTTTAGGATACCTAGTCGGCATGGACGCGTTGGACTGAAGGGTCTGTTTCCATGTTGTATTATGCCAAGACTGTAAAGAGACTGCTACATTTTTTAGATTTTAAAAGAAATAATGGGGTATGGTGGGAAAGTGTGAATGTGACATTGAGATGGAGAATCAGCTAAGATCGTGTTGAATGGCAGAGCAGGCCCAAAGGGCCACATGGCTTCCCCTGCTCCAAATTTCCATGTTTCTGAATTTCCTTAGAATAAAGAAGATTACAGAGAAATAGAATTCTTGCTTTCAAAACTCTAAGTGAAAACTATTTCCTTGTCCACCCTTTGAATATTTTGCCTATGATTTTGACTCAGTGTTGAACACTGGTAATTGATTATGTGACAGAAGAAATTATTGATCCTATCACTGTATTAACATATTACCTCACCTTGAAGTTTCAGTTTGATCACCTCATTATCCTTTCTGTGCCAACAAAAGCAGTTCTAAATTTTCCCAACCTCCCCTGACTGAAGTGCCTTATTACTGGTTACATTCTAGTGATTCTCCTCTGTACCCTTTCTAAGAGACTTCATCATTTCTCAATTGCCATATGCAGAGTTGTCAGCAATATTTCATCAGAGGCGTAATCAGTGATTTGTGACATTCCAGCATGATCTCTTTGTTGTATTATATTCTTCTATGTATAAATGGAAGTAATCCAAGTGTTTTCTTAACTTGTTTTATCCGGATTTTAGGTTTTTATTGGGCAGAAATGTCATCGGTTTCCTTATGCTTTTAAAATTGCACAACTTAAGTTCATAATTAGTCATCTCTAAGTAGTTCATTCACTCATTGACGCCAGCAGATCCTGTCAGTCAATTCGAACCAATCACTATACTGCCCTCAGCCTGATCTGTTACTTCACAATATTTTGTGCCCTACACCCGTGTCTAGATCAGTTATAGCAAGGGGAAAGCGTAATCAACCCAAATTTGGGTGACACCACTGTAAACCACCTCCCAGCCTGTAAAACATCCATTCACCATCAATTTTGTATCCACATCACTCAATTCTTAATTCAGTTGGCTTCCATCTTAATGTGTCCTTTAGGGAAGGAAACTGCCATCCTTACCTCATCTGGCCTACATGTGACTCTAGACCCATAGCAATGTGGTTGACTCTCCACTGCCCTCTGGGCATTTAGGGATAGGCAATAAATGTTGCCTGGTCAGCAATGCCCTCATCCCATGAATGAATAAAGAAAAATAAAAGTCTGTTATATACCACTTTGTTAAATGTCTTGGGGAAAGTCCAAGGATGCAGAAAACATGGGTTCAAATAGTGACATGGCAATTATTTGAATATAGATAGTTTGATTCCTTTAGAAAAAATTATCCTCATTTCATCTCTGAAGCATGAAGTGAGTCTCAGTAATGATGATTCCATAAGTTACCAGCAATCATCTTAAAAACCTATCTGGTTTAATAATGTTCTTTACAGAAGGAAATCTGCTTTTTTTTTCTTAATCTGCTAGACGTGTGATTGTTAAACTATAGTATTGACCTCCTGAAATGGCCCAGCAAACCATTTGGTTCAAGAACACTTAGAGATGGTCGACAAGTAATAGCCTTGCCTGTGACACACACACACCACATGATAGAATAACGACAACAATCTTAACAGGCTTCTTATGTGGTCCTTTATTACACGCCTTGGGAATATCTAGGTGTGTATTTATTACACTAGCTTGGCTAATCTTCTCTGTCCATGCATCCAATTAAGTTATTCAGATGTAATTAACTGTTTACAAAGTCATACTGGAACTTCTTGATTCATTCGAGTCTTTTAACATGAAAAGTTTATTTATTCTTAACAATGGATTTCAATAGCTGCTCCAGCATCATCATTAGCCTGACAGCTCTATAATTTTCACATTTCTCACTAATATGTTCTTATATACAAGATTAGCAATTATCCCGCCTTCTCCTCCATCACTGAAGATTAAAAGGCTGTGCTACCCATACCTTTGGTTCTTCTGGTAATCTCAGATTCATTATGTAAAGTTTAGTATTGTATAAAATCTATTAGATGCGAACAGTGTAATTAAAAATAGAATCCATTTAAAGTGATAATGGAAGAATGAGACAGATCAAATTCAAAAGTGCTTGACATCCAGTGAAACAAATATTCAAAAATAGAAATATGAAGTTATCTTCATGACAGATCGAGTATTGTATCCGCCTTCCCTCTTATCCCTGCAGATCGTCATGTGCCAACTCGTGATGCTCCTAGTGTCTTCATTTTAATCTCAGAATATAACCCACCTGTCACTGATATCCCGAATGTATTCAAACCAATCCTAGAGTCTGAACCCGCAGAGATAGCAGAGAAAGAAGTGACAGGTATTTCTGAGACTATTTCTACCTAGAATATGAATTTCTGAATGGAATAAATTATAATAGATGCATGTTGAGGTTTTGTGTTAATGCAAGAGAAAATTCTGACACGTGATGTGGTTGCCATGCCACAATTAGATAATTAAATATGTTTGATAGTCAGCACACTGTTTCGCATGCAACTCATTCTGTGTTGTGGCACACAATATATAAAAGCAGGAATTCACTGCCTATCTCTTGGCATGTATACCTTTTACTTCTCTCTATTAGTTTCTTAGTCAGTGTTCTTATTTTATGGAGCCTTGAGGTTATGCTTGGCAAGCAGATAATATCCAAAGCTGTACTTTTGTAATGTGTATTGAATGATAATTGGCTTTATGTGATGGAAGCAATATTATTGCATGGATTAGCTGTTTTCATACTACTCTGCTTTGAATTGTTTGGAAGACATGTATTGTTATTCCTCAGTGCATATAGAATATTCAAATCACTGCACATTTCATGGAAAATAAGCACTTTTGATATCACCATTGAATTATTTGGTTATCACGCTCTTTTGCTGAAGTTTAGAGACTGGACTTTGCTATAGATTATAACTTACCATCTCTTCTTTATGACGTACTAAATTACTTTTACACAGGAAGAAATATTGGTGTATTAAGTGGCTGTTGCCAGGTCACTATCACACAAATCTTTTTCAATAATGTGGAACTAATTAATCTATGCACTAAGTATAATTTAATATTGAATGGAATGCATTATTAAATGGTGACTTTGAAGAGTATTTAACAATGAATGTAATGAGAGAATATTATAATAGTGCTAGAGTGATATTCACAAATACAATTATATTTTGCAAAACATGACAAAGGTTATTTTTACAAAGATTGAGAATTTTGCATTTGGATTCCTTCTTATCCCCAGCAGCCCATGAGGTGCAAACCTCTGACATTCGCAATGTGGTTAGTTCAATCTCAGACAATGAACTGCTGGTCACTGCTTCTCCCTATGTGTTCCATCCAGTCTCAGGATCTGACCCTACAAAGATGAGGAAGGATAAATTTACAGGTACTTCTGACAATAACTGCATTTTTTTGAATTGGCAAAGGATTGAGTAAAGAGTATAGGCATGTTGAAGTTGGACTTCAAAGCAGAGTTAGGGCACAAACTGCAGATTCTATGCCACAGTAGTCAAGTGAGTAATTTAGTTCTGTATGAAATGCATTCATTATTACAGTAAGCATATGACGAAAGCAAACTGTTGCATTTCTCCTGTTTAAATGCAAATTGTTTATCCTTTTTGGATTATTTGATCAGAAGAACATCAAGGTCTTGGACTGGATTAAAGATCTAATTGTGCAGCGTGATAACTCAGTGGTTAGCACTGCTGCCTCACAGCACCAGGGACCCGGATTGATTCCAGCCTTGGGTGACTGTGTGGAGTTTGCATGTTCTTCCTGTGTCTGCATGGGTTTCCTTTGGGTGCTCTGGTTTCCTCCCACAGTCCAGGGATGTGCAGGTTAGGTGGATTGGCCATCATAAATTTTCTGCAGTGTCCAGGGATGGGTTGGCTAGGTGTGCGGTTACGGGGATAAGGTGGGGGTCTGGGTCTGGATGGGATGCTCTTTGGAGGGTCGTTGTGGACTTGATGAGGCGAGTGACCTCTTTCCACACTGTAGGGATTCTATGATTCTATCAATTTGCTAACATTGTGGTAGAGATGAAGACTTTAATTTTGAGGAGAGTCTAGAGATGAGTTCTTTGTAGAACAAAAATGATGAAAGGGAAATGGCATATTTGTCTTAAATTCTGTGTGTTTAGACAGAGTACAATTTGGAGAAACTGGCAAGAGAATCTGTTAGCGAAGAGCTCCAATATGAAGTAGTCTGCAAGCAGAGATGATATGAAAGTTTTTCACATGCCTGCTTATTACCATCAGCAGTGCCACCTGAACAAAGCCTCAGTTAAAATTACAAATGACAATTGCTTCTGCACATTTTAATGTAGACCATTACAAATACTGACAGAAATCTAAATGAAAAATACTCTCAACATTGACTCTTCAGATGTTTGGACAATGATTTTGAATTCATAGTGACCAATAGTTCTTTATCTTGAGGAAATCATTTCTTCTATGCAGTATGTTAAAACACCTCATCATCTTTAGATTTCTATTAACTGCGTCGTTATCTTTTCTGATCTAACGAGAACAGTTTTAGATTTCCCAACCTGTCCTCATGACTGGTAACATTCTGGTATTTCTCCTCTGTACCCTTTCTAAGCCCCTTGTAGTGTTCCTCAATTGTCATGCTTAGAATGTCCATAGTATTTCAACAGAGGCCTAATCGGTGATTTACCAAGTTCTAGCAGGATCTCTTTGCTTTCATGTTCTATTACATGTTTTACAAATGCAAGTAATCCAAATGCTTTCTGAATCGTTTGTCAACCACCTTTCCAGATTTAAGGGTTTCTTTATTTATATAGGTGGATTGATTTTCTGCACATCTGCACTTTTTAAACAAAATTATATTTGATCCAATTAGTCATCCCAAAGTGCATCTTTTACACTTCTCCACACAGTCAATGCTTCAGTCCATGTCACCACTCAATTATCTTGAGCCTGTAACTAGCTCAGTTGCCTGGATGGCTGGTTTGTAGTGTACGGTGATGCCAGCAGTGTGGGTTCAATTCCCACATGAGCTGAGGTTACCATGAATGATTCTCTTTCTCAATTTCTCCTTTGTTTGTGGTGTGGTTACCCTCAGGTTAGTGAGAGAGCAGCCCGATGGTCTGGTTACAATATAGTGATTTTAGCTTTCCTTGTACAACTGTCCTCAGTTACTTTTTTACTTTCCCAGGTTTTGTATCATCAGTGCACCCTACATCTGGGATTAGCTTTTTCATAACAGTTGGAATGAACAATGGCCCCAAAATGGACCCTGTGTCCACTCTAAATCAGATCACTGTCTGTGAAACATCCATCCACCATCACTCACTACTACTTTGTATCACTTTAGGACTGTATTGTACAACTTTGCTGAATAACTTGGGAAATTCCTGAGGGCCAAACTAGTGCTATCAAAATACAGTGTCAGATCCAAATATGACAGCTAGTGGAATTGGAATATTTCAATTAATAAATCTGGAATATAAAGTGAGTCTCAGTAATGATGATTATGTTGGCTATCATCATTGTTGTCTAAAAACCTATCGGGTTCACCAATATTGTTAAGGGGAAAAAGAAAGTCTACTGTCCTTACCTAGTCAGGCTTATGTGTGACTCCAAATCCACGGCAATGCAGCAGACTCTTAACTTTTCTCTTAAGTGGCCCAGCAAGCCGGTCAGTTTAAGGGCAATGAGTGATGGGTAACAAATGCTGGTATTGCCAGCAAGGTCCATATCCAATGAAGGAAGACAGAAAAAAAACGGTTGCACCATGTTGGCTGCTATGGAAAAGTCCAGACTTTCTACTCTACCAAACTACTTGAGTCAATTTTCTTTGTTTCCACATCAAAGAATCAGATTAAGTTATTCAGACAAATGCTAGCCTTTAATAAATTCCCGCTTGATTTTCTTGATTCACCCCAGCCTTTTAATATGAAGATTTATTTTATACTTAGTGATGGTTTTCAGTAAATTCCCCAGCCTCTTATTAGGTTAACTGCTCTATTGTTTCTCCCTATTGTTTGTTGAATTTGACATTAGAAAACATATACACTTCAGATTCTACTGCACTGTCAAATGAGGTTGAAAGATTGAGCCTAATTCTTTCGACTTTTTCTACCATTGCTTCTTTCAGTGACCTCCGATGCATCATGAAGAGTTTAGTGTTGTAAGAATTGCATTATTAGAAGCACAATGTGTAATTCCAGTTGAATATATTTAAAGCAAGAGTAAAAGAATAAAAAAAAAGAACTGCAGATTCTGGAAATCTGAAACAAAAACAGAACTCGGAACTTCAGACCTCCAGTTCTGAAGAAGGGTCACCGGACCCAAAACATTAACTCTGATTTCTCTCCACAGATGCTGCCAGACCTGCTGAGATTTTCCAGCAAAGAAAAATCAATTGTGTTTCAATGTAACGGTGTATAGTAAAACAAATATATTTATCAACAAACATCAGGAGTTATTTTCACAACAGATTATACGTTAGTATCTGACCTGCCTCTTATCCCCTGCAGACCATTATGTGCCAACTCGTAGTGTCTTCAATTTAATCTCAGAATATAAAGTGCCGATCACTGATACCCCTAATGTATTCAAACCAATCCTAGAGCCTGAACATGCAGAGATAGCGGAGAAAGAAGTGACAGGTATTTCTAATACTATTTCTGCCTGGAACATGAACTCCTGAATGAGTAAATAATAAGAGATGCATGCTGAGCTGTGTGTTAATGCAAGAGAGGATTCTGACACATGCTGTAAATGCTATGCTGCACTTTTTTACAATTGCAACTCATTTATAAAATGAGCAATTCGCTATCAATGTACTGGAATTTAGGTATTTTGCTTCATTTGGTTGGATTCTTTCATCAACTTTCTTGCTGCTTGGATCTCGGAGGCTTTGCTTAGCTGGAACGTGCCTGTCAAACAAGGCTGAACCATGGTGGAGTTTATTGGATGATAATTAGTTTAATGTCTTGGAAACAGCATTAGTGCATGGAGCATTTGTTTTTATACAGTTTTGTGAGATATTGGGTAGGCATTTGTTGTCTTTATTCAAAACACATGAAATAAGCAAACCATTTTGTGGAAATTACATCCCTATTGGATTATTTGCTCATTGTGCTTATTCCATAAAGTTTAGATTCTTGTGAAGAATTGTCTTTCAACTCATCATTCCTATATAGTAAAGTTTATGAAATAATAATTCACTTTAACGTAGCAGAAACAATGTTATTACATTGATTTTCTGTTAGCATCTCATCATTGTATGAATCCATTTCAATTATATTGAATTAATTAATTTAATCACTGAGTATAAATTCATGATGAATGAAATGTATTATTATGTGATCTATTTGGTGACTTTGAAGAGTACTTTATCTTTTTTAATGAGGGAATACTACAACAGAGCTATATTGATGATTAGAAGTATACCTATATTCCTTAAAAGATACTGGCATAATTGTCACTTTTTATTAAGAGTTTTGGCTTCCTTCTTATCCCCAGCAGACCACGAGGTGCACACCTCTAACACTCGCAATGTAGTCAGTTCAAAATCAGACTATGAGCTGCCAGTCACTGACCTTCCGTATGTGCTCCATCTAGTCCCAGGATCTGACCCTGCTAAAATAGGGAAGGAAGAATTTACAGGTACTTATGGCAATAATTGTGTCTTTGGTTTTAGTAAAGGAACGGTATGTGCATGTTGAGATTTGTGCAAGGAAACCGAGAATTAAACCTTGAAATAAATGAAGAATATATCCGTGAGATTGGTAGCTGGACTGAAAGCTGGAAAGAGTTTCCTGAGAACAAAGTATGTTTTAAAAAAATGAAATAGTGGTGCTCAAAATATTGGGGAGTTTAAACAGTATGCATAGGGAAAGACTTTTAATTCTAACATGTAAATCAGTTAACAAAGGAGATAGTTTACTAATGAGGTAGAGATGACATGAGAGTTTTTCACGCCCCGGGACTTATGATCAGCAGTGTCCCTTACATCGACTTATTTAAAATGCGTTCTGACAACAGATTCCAAACGTTTTTTTTCAGTAGACCATACTACATGCTATCAACAATCTCAGTGAAAAGCATTCTCCTTGTTTTATTACTACCTCTGTGGCAATTCATTTTGAATCTATGGTGACCATTAGTGTTTGATGACACAACAGAGGAAATAATTTTTTTCTGTATTAAAACACTTCATTATCACCTTGAAATTTCTTTTTAATCACTTCATTGCCTTTCTGATCCAACAAAATCATTTTAACATTTCCAACATCTCTTCATGACTAAAGTGCTTCATTTCTAGTAACTTATTCTCTATAGAATCTCTTCTTTATTTTCCAAGAGCCTTCCATTTCTTTTCAATTGACATGCCCAGACATCTCCACAGTACTTGGTAAGATGCTGAATCAATGATTTATAAAGTTTTAGCTTTGTATAAATACAAGTATTTCAAATGAATTTTTTAACCATTTCATCAATTGTCCTTCCAGATTTGAGTGTTGTCTATGCTGGCAGCACGGTCTTCAACTCATCTGCATTTTTTAAAGTTATGCTATGTATAATACAATATATTTCAAAAAATTAATATATTTCATTTCAAAAAATGAGTTGTCAATAAGTGTATCATTTCACTCTTCCACGTGCATTGCTTCAGCCCATATCACCAGCTTGTCTCTGTCACCTTGTGTCTATAACTCTCTTCCTTTATTACATTGCCAGGTTTATGTTATAACATTTATAATGACGTTCACTTCTTCTGGGCCTGGCTAATTCATAGCAATTGGAAAGAGTCATGAACCCAAAACCGAAGCTGAGTGATGCCACAGTAAACCACTACCAAGTCTATGAAACATCCATCAACCATCACTTCTGCTTTCTGTCATTTTGTATCCGTATCAATCCTTCATTCTTGATTGCATTGACTTCCATCCTAACTTCTTGTCTGCCACTTTGTTGAACAATCTGGGAGAGTCCTGAGGCCCGGGCTATTGTTCTGAAGACACGGGTTAAAATCCCAACTTGGCAACAGGTGGTATTTAAGGAGTTCAGATAATAACTCTGGAGCGTAAAGCTTTTCTCAGTAATGGTGATCATGCCAGCTGATTATTGCTGATTGTAAAAACCCATCAAGCTCACTGATACTCTTTAGGGAATGGAAATCTGCTGTCCTTCCACAGTCTGGCCTACATGTGACTCCAAGCCACAGCATTGAGGTGGAAATATGACTTAACTTGTAAGGAGACCAGCAAGGCACTTGGATCGAAATGACTACAATTAGTGACGGATGGCAAAAGTTGTCCTCACCAGCAACACCATCATCTCAAAAAGGATGAAATTTAGCCACAAAAAGCCCTTAACAAAGTCGTTCTGAAACTTCTTGATTCGCCCTGGCCTTTTAACATGATGGTTTATCTCATACCATAGTAATGGCTGACAAATAACTTTGCCATCCTGTCATTGGGGTGACTATTGTTCCCAAGTTTCGACCTAACCTTTTTTATGAGTATAACATAAGAAAACTTCCACTCTTTAGATACTACTGCTGTACGCAATAAGATTGAAAGATTGTTCTCAATGCCTGGACTATTACGTTCTTTGCTTTTCTCAGTGGCTAAGTAGAGTTTAGAGTTGTATGAAATGTATTATTAGATGCACAGTAGAATCCATTTAAATGAAAGAATAAGATCAATTGTATTTCAATATTACAATGATCAGTAAATCAAATATATTTATCAATAAACCTCTGGAGTTATTTTCAGAGAAGTTACGAATTTTATTGCTGACTTCCGTCTTATACTCTGCAGACCATCATGTGCCAACTCGTGATTCTCCTAGTGTCTTCAGTTTAATCTCAGAATATAAACAGCTGGTCACTGACACTCCTAATGTATTCAAACCAGTCATAGAATCTGAACCTACAGAGATAGCGGAGAAAGAAGTGACAGGTATTTCTGAGACTATTTCTGCCTGGAACATGAAGTCCTGAATGGAGTAAATAATAATAATTGCATGTTGGAGGTGTGTGTTAATACAAGAGAAGATTCTGACACATGCTGTATGTGCTATGCCACACTTTTATAATTAACTACATGTGATGGTCAGTACACTGTCTTGCATGCAACTCAATCAGTGTTATGGTAAAAATTGACAAAACCAGCAATACACTGTTGATCACCTGGTATTTAGGCATTTTGCTTCATTCTGTTGGGTTCTTTGGTCAACATTCTTGCTTCATGGAGCTTTTGAGTCTTTGCTTGGCTGGAATGTATGTGTCAAACGATCAAGGCCGAACAATTGTGAAGATTATTGGATGCCATCTAGCTTTATGTTGTGGAAGCGATGTTAGTGCATGGAGTGTGTATTATCCAGAACTGTCTTGTGAAACTCTGAACTGGCATTTATTGACTTTGTTCAAAGCAATGTCCATTTCAAGAAAATGAAGCATCTCTGTCATTATTGTTTGCTCAGCATGCTTATTTCATAAAGTTTAGGGATTGTGTGCTGTGATTTGTTAATCAACCTATTATTTCTATATTGCTAAGTTTTTTGGTATGATGAATAACTTTTACATCATGGAATTGATGTTAATGCATCAAGGTTCTGATACCTTCTCTTTATTATATGAGTTTATTTTGATATTGAATTAAATATTTTTACACTCAGTATAGTTTATCATTGAATTGAATTTATTATTGTGATGTATTGGTTATTTGAGTGTATTTACTTGTTATTATGAGAACAGACTACTTCAACAGTGCTCCATCAATGAGCAGACAAAATTTGATTATATTCCTTAAAACAACACAGCAGTTATTTTCACAATTGCGTAAGAATTTTGTATCTGGCTTCCTTCTTATCCTCAACAGACTATGAGGTACCAGGCTCTGACACTCTTGGTACAGTCAGTTCAAAATCAGACTATGAGCTGCCAGTCACTGACTCTCCCTATGTGCTCCATCCAGTCCCAGGATCTGAACCTGCTAAAATAGGGAAGGAAGAACTTACAGGTACTTCTGACAATAATTGTGTTTTTAGTATTAGCAGAGGAATGCAGTATGTAGTATATGCATATTGAGGTTTGTGGAACAGAACCAGAGTTTGGGCACAATCTGTAGATTCCAAACCACATTTCTGCACTTACGTCAGTAGTTTAAATGTCTATGAAACACATTGATCATTGTTACAGAAGTATATGATTGGACCAAACTGCTGCATTTATCCTGAATTTCATGTAATTTGTCTGCCTGCTTTTAATTATTGATTGATCTGTTTCCAGGGGTTGGTGCAGAGGCTCTTGGTGTTTGTGGTGTACATTAATGATTTGGATATAAATGTAGGGGTCTGATTAAGAAGTTCATAGATGACTCAAAAATTGATAGGTAGATAGTGAGAAGGATGGCCATAGATTGTAGGAGATATCAACAGACTGTCAGGTGGTAGAGTAGTGACAAATGACAAAAGAAAGGAAATACAGGAACAGAATTTGGCCATTCGTCCATCATTTAATATGATTATAGTTGATCAAACTTTTACTTCAATAACTTTTACTCACATTAACCTCATAACACTTTGCACCATTGATAATCGAAAACTTTATTAGGCTCTAAGTATGCTCACATACTGAGATTCCACAATCCTCAGGGGCAGAGAATTCTAAACATTCACCACCCTCTGAGTAAAATTTTTCATCAATCGTGTTGCCCAGAGTTTCCATTATATTTCAGTAGAGGTCTAGTCTGTGATTGATGAAGCTCCATGATCTCTTTGCTTTTGTATTCCATTTCTCTTTGAATAAATGCAAGTAATCCAAATGCTTTCTTAACCATTTCATTAACTGTCCTTCCAGATTTAAGGTTTTTATATATGGGCAGCACAATCATCTGCTCATGTATACTTATTAAATTATGCTATTTATAGTGCACTGTCTTTCCAAATTTCTTTATCCTTAGATGCATAATTTCATACATCTCCTCATAAGCAATGTTTCAACCATGTCACTACACTGTCTCTGTAATATTGTGCCTATAATTTTCCTGAGTAACTTTATTTCTTTGTTAAGTCTTGTGACCTTATGGTTTGACTCACTACACCTGAGTCTAGTTCAATTATAACAATTGCAAAGAGTAATAAACCCAAAACTGACTTGGGTGACGCTACCGTAAACCATGTCCCAGTCTGTGAAGCATCTATCCACCATCATTCTCCACCTTGTGTCACTTTGCATCAATATTACTTCTTCGTTCTTAATTCTATGGCTTCCATCCTAACAGACATTTTGTATGGCACTTTGTTGAATGCCTTGGGAAAGTCCAGAGACCCAGGCTAGTGCTGTAACGGTGTGGGCTCAAGTCCCAACAAGGTAACTGGTGAAATTTAAAATCATTCAGTTAATAAATCTGGAATATAAAGCTAATCTCAGTAGTGGTGGTCATGTTGGCTATCATTGTTTGTGGTAAAACCCATCTTGTGGAGTAATGTTCTTTAAGCAAGAAAATCTGCTGGCTTTACCTGGTCTGCTCTATATGTGATTCTACACCCAGAACAATGTGATTGTCTCTTAAATGTCCACTTATATGCTGCAGCAAGCCACTCAATAAACGGGCAATTAGGGAAGGCCAACTAATTATCTCCTGCCAATGACACCCACATCCTATTAAGGGAGATGAAAAAAGAAAGTCTTAATGGGCCTCTTCAGTAGCAATTTGTTGAATGCCTTAGTAAAGTCCAGAGATACATCCACCACATTACACAATTCAGAGGAAGGGTCACCAAACCCGAAACGGTAACTCTGATTTTTTCTTCACAGATGCTGCCAGACCTGCTGAGCTTTTCCAGCACTTTGTTTTTGTTCCACCACATTGCCTTGGTTAATCTTCTCTGTCATCACATCAAGCAATCAAAATAAGTTATTAAGGCACAATAACTCTTTGACAAAGTCCTGCTAGATTTTATTGATTCACCCTGTCCTGTTAACATGAAAGTTTATTTTATATTTAGTAATGATTTTGAGGAACTTGCTCAACTTGTCAATTACACTGAGTGATGAATGGTTTCCAAGTTTCACCCTAATGTTTTTAGAAAACTTCACTCTTCAGATATTGCTGCTGTATCCAATGAGGGTTGAAAGATTGTGCCTAGTGTGTGCTATTACTTCCTTTGCCTCTTCCAGGGACTTTAGATGCATCATGTAGAGCTTAGTGTTGTGTGCAATGTGTTATTAGATGAATAATGTACAAGTACAATAGAATCTGTTTAAAATGATAATGAGGGAATATGAAGGAATATGACCAATTGTGTTTCAATGTAATAATGTCCAGTAAATCAAATATTTATTAATAAATCTTGAATTCTTTTCGAGAGATTATGAATATTGTATCCACTTTCCTCCTTATCCCCTGCAGACCGTCATGTCCCCGCTCCTGCCACTCCCAGTGTCTTCAGTTTAATCACCGAACATAAACTGCCGGTCACTGATTCCCCTAATATATTCAAACGAGTTGTAGAATCTGAACCCGCAGAGATAGTGGAGAAAGAAGTGACAGGTATTTCTAAGACTATTCTACCTGGAACTCCTCAATGGAGTAAACGATAAGACATGCATGTTGAGTGTGCGTTCATGCAAGAGAAGACTCTAACACATGCTGCAGGTGCTATGCCGCACTTTTTAAATTGAAATATGTTTGAGAGTGGACTATCTTGCATGCAGCGCATCCGATGTTGTTCCACAAAGTGTATGAAGTGAGCAGTCCACTGCTATTTCTTAGTATTTATGCATTTTGCTTCGTTCTATTGGATTTTTCGGTCGAAGTCCTTATTTCATGTAGTTTTGAGGCTGTGCTTGGCCATTAATAGACTTTCAAGGCTGTACTTTTTGATTTTTATTGGATGACAATTGGCTGTGAGTTGGAAGCAATGTTACTGCATGGGGTATCAGTTATTGTATCAATCTCCTTTGAATCTTTTGGAAGGTATTGACATTCCACAGAGCATACAGAATGGAGAAAAAAAACCACAGCACATTTTATGGAATTTAAGCATTTTTCTTATCACTATGGATTATTTGCTCACTCTGCTTATTTAATAAAATTTAGAGCTCTTACTTTGTTCTAAAGTGTCTGGCTACCTATCATCACTATATTGTGAAATATATTGGATGGATTAATTAATCTACACATAGTATAATTTAGATTTGAAGGGAATGCATATTATATGTTGTAATTGGTTACTTTGGAATAGATTTAATTATAAAGACAAAATACTCCACAGAGTGCTACATTGACAACTAGAAATATGAATACACTCATCAAAACAACATAGTATTTCCACCCAGAAATTAAGAATTTTGCATTTGGGTTCATTTTTATCCCCAGCAGACCAGGAGGTGCCTACCTCCTGACACTTGCAATGTATTCAGTTCAATCCCAGACTATGAGCTGCCATTCATTGATTCTCCGTATGTCATCAGTTCAACCCTAGAGCACAAACCTGCTGAAGTAGGAAAATTTCAACTACTTCTAATAATAGTTGTATCTTTTGCATGAATTGAGGAATGGAGGAAATTGATTTTCAGACAGGTGCTGGATAGGCAATACCGCAGCATTGTGTGTTTCCTGTCAATTCATGCCCTGGCATGATATCCATTCATAGTTACCGTATGATGTGCCTGAAATGAGCAGTCCATTGTATATCTATTGGAATTGATCTGTATCACTTGATCATTTGGCTGTGCGCTTTATTAGTGAAATGTGGGCACAGCACATCAAACACGATATCCATTGGAAAGGGTGCAGATTTGCTAACATGCAAGTCAAGAGAAGGACTTCAGTTTTGTTGAGAGACTGGAGAAGCTTGGATGATTCTCTTTAGAACAAAGACAATGAAAGGGGCATTGAATAACGGTGCTAAAATTCTGAGGGATTTATACAAAGAAACAGTTGCTAATCAGATCAAGATCAGTAAGCAAAAGGTAGATGTGAGGAAACCTGTAAAAGAAACAAAGGTGTCATGAGGAGAAACATTCTTTCACAATGAGTCATTATGACCTGGAACGCACTGCATGAATAGGCGATGCACCCAGCTCCAACAGGACCTTGCAGAAAGGATAGATAGTTGAAGAAGCAAATATTGGAAAAGGGGCAAAAGCAAGGGATCGAGACTAACCTGTTAGCTCATCAAAGAACTGCAGTAGACATGATGGGCCATTAGCTTCATTCCATGTCTGATTCAATGATTTAGATACTGTATTTGGTTGACTTCGTGGTTATACTGCTGTAATGTTTATTGGATGATACTTATATTTTGTGTACTGAAAATAATGCCAAGCATAGAATCAGCCTTATCAATGTTGTATTGAAATTTTGGAATGTTGTTAAATTATTAATCAATCTTTTGTGAAGTTTTTAATATTGTGTAGAAAGTATTGTCTATTACACAATCTGTGGCAGCACTTAAACCTATTGGAAGAGTTACACCAGAAACCAGGTGAGATCCCCAAATTTAGGTTCAGATGGGACACCCCAAACTGTTAAGGTCCCAAGTGAGAAGAGATGAACTGGCACCCCTTCTTTATTCATAAAGATGCTTTTATCACACACCTTTTATCAGTTAAATGAATGTGAGATTTAGTTGTATGTGTAGTGTATCTGATGGTCTTGCGTGGAACCCATCCATTTTTGTTGCACAAAGATATTAATTAACGATCCACAGCACTGCCCTAGAATTTTTACATTTTGTTCATCTCTGTTGAATTTTTTTTTTGTACAGGTCACTTGTTTGATTTATCCTTGTCAATACAGTGCATGTCGACCTATCAACATTATATTCTATACAACGGAATGCATGTTTCTCCACAGAGTGTCTATTGACCAATCGCTTATTCATAAATTATTTTAAATACTATTGCATTAATTCATTTAAACACAGAGTATAATTTAAAATTGTAAGAAATGTATTATTACATGCTGTAATTGATTAATTCTGATAGCATTTAATTATTACGGTGGCAGAATACCATAACACTGCTACGTTAATGTCCAGGAATGCAAATATAATTCATCAAAATAGCACAGAATATTTTTACCCAGGGATTAAGAAATTTGTATGGTTTTCCTCTTATCACCAGCAGATCATGAGGTGACAACCTCTGACACCCAGGATCAATTCAATTTTATCTCAGGCACTGAGATGCTGATCACTGACTCTCCTAATGTGTTGAGTCCAAACCCAGATTCTGAATCTGCTAACATCGAAGAGAAAGAAATTACAGGTACTTTTGACAGTATTTGTGTGAACTCAGGAATTGAGTACATAATAATTCGACATTTAGGCTTGTGCTACAGTGACAAATGGTTGATTATGGATGAAATTTAATGTAATCAAAGTGGGTTTAGCCTATTAGTTAGCGAACCATCGGAAAACCTACCTTACTTCTGAGGTGTGTACCAACTGGGTTAAGCTCATGTCCAATATTTAACTGGCTGATGGTAGACCTTCCGTAGGATTTAGCGGCCCAGGGTTAAAAATCCTGCTTCTCAATCAGAGGCCAGCAGTACTCCAGTGCAGGCAATGACACTAGGAGTGGTGGTGACTGCTGCTGGTATTGCATCCATGGAGAGACCTAGGATCACTGAGGGACAGGACATAGGTAAGTGAGGGCAGACTGGGGGTGACTGTGCTATTGGGAGGATGGTGTAAGTAGGGTGTTTGGATTCAGATGTGGGAGGTGGCCACATTCCTGTTCAATGCTGAGTATCTCAATCAGACTTTAACCATCTTTGAAAGAGGATCCTCTCCAGAAATTAGTTATAGATACAATAAGGCTTTGACAAAGCTGTGCTGGATCGTCTTGATTCATTCTGACCTTTTAACATGAAAGTATATTTTTTACTTAATAATGGCTTTCAGTAACTTCTCTAACACCAGATTCAGGTCACTGAATCAAAGAATCACAGAATTAGTATGACACCAAAGGAAGCCATTCAACCCATCATGTCTGTAGTATTTCTTTGACCATTTTGACTTAGTACCAAACTCATGTCTTTTCCCCGTAACATTATTTCTTTTTGAGTAATCATCTAATTCATTCTTGAATGCCTGAATTGTACCTGCCTCTACCACACTTCCAGGCATTGCATTCCAAACTTGGACCACTTGCTGTAAGATAGTTTTTTTTTCACCTCGCATTTGTTTCTTTTGCAAAACACTTGAAAACTGTGCCATCTGGCTCTCGATCCATTGATGTAGAAATTGTTTCTCCCTATCCGTTCTGTCCAGAGATCTCCTGATTTTGAAAACTTTTATCAAGTCTCCCTTCAGCCTTCTCCTCTTCAAGGAAAACAGTCTTAACTTCTCCAATCTATCCTTATAACTGAAGCTTCTCATCCCTGGAACCATTCTCGTGAACCTTTTCTCCATGTCTTTTCAACACATTCGTATTCTTCCTAAAGTGTGGCGCCCAGAATTGGATAGATGATGTCTAACATGTGTCTTTATGCAACTTCAGAATAACATCTCTGCTCTTGTATTATATGCCTGTATTAATTAAGCCTAGAATATTGTATATTATATTAGCAGCTCTCACTACTTAGCCTGCAACTTTAATGAGTTATGCACATAAACACCCAGGACTCTGGGCTCTTGCATACTGTTTCGAATAATGTCCTTTACTTTATATTGTCTTTCCATATTCTTTCTACCAAAGTGCATTGTGCTTCTCTGTGTTGAATTTTGTTTAGCCCCACCTCCACCCACTGCACCAACTTAATTTTTTTTCTTGAAATTCTACACTGTTCTCACAGTTTACAATTCTTCCAGGTTTTGTCATCAGCAAGCTTGGAAGTTGTCCCCACCAAGATTTAGATCATTGATATATTACTATACTGACCCGTGTTTTCCAAGTGTACTCCTCTCACCTTTCTTGAATAGGGGTATAACATTAGTAAGATCTAGCCTTCTGGCTCTACTCCTGTACCCAATGAAAATTGAAAAGTTGTAACCAATTTCTTTGCTGTATTTGTCTTTGCTTCTTTCAGTGACCTTGGATGCATTATTTAGAGTTTAGAATTTTATGAAATGCATTATTAGATATACAACGTGTAATTAAACTGGAATCCATTTAAAGTGAAAATGATGAATTAATAAGACCAATTGTGCTATATTGCTATGCAGTAATGATGAATATCAAATGTATTATTTAACCTAATTTGGGTGTATTTTCATGGGAGATTAAAAATCTTGGATTCGTTCTCATCACCAGCAGACCCTGAAGTGCCAACTCCTTACGCTCTTAATGTGTTCCGTTTAATCTCAGAATCTGAACTGCCAGTCACTGACACCCCTAATGTATTCAAACCAATCTTAGAATATGAGCCTGCAGAGAAAGAAGGTACAGGTACTTCTGACAATATTTTCCAGTGTGATTTCAATAATGTGGTAACTAATTATCGGTGCATGTTGAGGTTTGTACTAAAGCGAGAGAAGTTTTGGATTCCTGCTTTTGCTGCTATTCCGCACTTTACAGTTAAATAACTATTCATTTTTTTTGTGTGTAAGGTGTATTCAATATCACTACCCTGTCTTGCATGGGTGCATTCAATGCCATGTCAATTAAATGAGAAATCTACAAGAGAAATTTACAGTCTTCAAATTAAGCATATAGCTTGTTGCTAGTTAAATGGTTAGTAACCCCTAGAGCAGTATAATGGCTTAGAGCATTGAAAGTGCTTGACTGGTAAACAGAAGAGCTTGGGTTCAAACCTCAGTGGTGACTTTCTTCAAAATCACGTTTAAGTGTTCTTGTGGTATAGTAGTAGTTTCTTCTGGGGCAGCACGGTGATTCAGTGGTTAGCACTGCTGCCTCACAGCACGAGGGACCTGGGTTCAATTCCACCCTCGGGTGACTGTGTCTGTGTGGAGTTTGCCCAATCTTCCCATGTCTGCGTAGGTTTCCTCCCACAGTCCAAAGGTGTGCAAGTTAGGTGGATTGGACATGCTAAATTGCCTCATAGTGGCCAGGGATGTGTAGTTAGATATGTTAGCCATGGGATATATTGTGTGATGTCCTTCGGAGGGTCGGTGTGGACTTGTTGGGCTGAATGGCCTATTTCCACACTGTAGAGACTCTATGATTCTCTATGATTATTGTGAAGATTGAAGCTTATGCTTGGCAAATAGTGCTACATTACAGTTTTGTACTCTTGTTAAGTAATACCAATGTATTCATTAGTGCAATTCTGATATTTTATTCATGAGCAGTTAAGGATTTTGTATCTGACCTCCTTCTAATCCCTTCAATCCGTGAGATGACAGGCTCTGACACTCCAAATGTGTTCAGTTTAATCTCATACTCTGAGCTGTTGGTCACTGATACCCATAATTTGTTAGAAGAGAAAATATTTCAGTTTCGGATACTTCCAATAATATTGATGCCTTCCATCTGAATTTAGGAATAAATATTTATGTGCATGTTGAATTTTGTGTTACCATGACAGCTAATTGGGATACAAGCTGTAGGTGCTATGCTGTAGCTTTGTGGTTTAATGAGTGTTTGGTTTGCCAGTATGAAAAACAGATTTGGTCATCTTTAATCCATCCTGTGTGGAACCCATTCATTTGGCATTTCCACTATTATTTGTGCTTCGAGTGTGAACTCAGGGGTACAATGCATTCTCGCATTAATATTATGAGTAATGTTAAAATGACAGGATATCAAAACATGTGCTGTAGCTGCTTTGTCACAGTTTTCCATTTAAAAATGTTCAGCTTGTTTGTGTAAAATATATTTGATTGTCAGTTCACTAAATTACATTGAATTTATTCATTCCTGTTGAAAAATATGTGAAATTAGTAACTTACTGCGTATTCAAATACATTTTGCTTACGTCACTTGCATTGTCACTCTTGCTTCTTTCTTGAAGTTTAGACCCTGTAAGGTCTCTGTCAACCTCTCCTGATTATATTAGTGTTGGATGATAATTAGGTTTTACTTTGTTTAAAACACTGTTGTATAGTATCAGTCAATGCAGTGTGGAGCTGGAGGAACACAGCAGGTCAGGCAGCATCAAAGGAGCAGGAAAGTCAACATTTCAGGTCGGGACCTTCATCAGGACCAGTCCAGTGATTTATAAATCATTTAAAATAATATCAAATTAATTATTTTACACACTAAGTTAGTATTGGATAATAATAATGCACTATATTTAGTAACATTGGAATCACTTTTAAAGCTATTATAATGAAAGATGATAAATTCTGCAATAGGACTGCATTGATGTCCAGAAATATACAACATTAAGGTTGCTTTCACAAGAGATTAAACACTTTGTATTTGGCTTAATTTTTATCCCCAGCAGACAGTGGGGTGCAAACACCTGACACTCGTAATGTGTTAAATTTACTCCAAGACTATGAGCTGCCAGTCAGTGACTCTCCACATGTGTTCAGTTCAATCCCAGAACCTGAACCTTCTATGGTAGAAAGAATAAAATTGCAGGAACTTCTGACTGTATAATAAATACATGTTGATGTTTGTGTTAACAAGACAGATGGTTAGGCCACATTCTTTCGATCCTATACCATGCTTCTACACTTAACTGTTTGTTTTAGTTGTGTGAATAGAGTTTTTGATAGTAAATGCATGACGGTGCATTGTAATTAAGCACTGCTGATGCCTGACATACATGAAATATGCAATTTGCTGTATATTTCTGCAATTTGTGTATTTTTCCTATCTCTGTTGGATTAGAAGTTTGGGGACCACAATTTAAGAAAGTTGCCAAGGCATTTGAGAGAGTGGAAATTGCTTTGTTAGAATGGAAGTAAAATTGAGGATTTAACACTTGTTTAGAGAGTAGAGTATCTGGAGTAGTTTGCCCCAGAATGACCAAGGGGAGGTCGAACAGATATTTTAAAATTCTGATCAGTTTGAAGGAGCAAACAGGCAGAAACTGATTCCATTGGTTTTCAGGTTAGTGATCAATGGATACATGTGAAATATAAACAAGGAAAAAAACTGAGTTATGGATCTATTTTAGCAGCAGTTTGTTCTCTGGAAACACTGAGAAGATGGTGTGTGCAGCTTCTATAGCAGTTACCCAAGGGAATTGAATAAATAGGGTGAAAAAATATAGGACAATATTGAAAGAGCAGGGAATGAGACCAATAGAACTGCTATTTCACAGAATTGGCGCAGATATAAGCATGATTGGTCCGCGTTTGTGCTGTATGATTCCATGATTTTGGCACCAAACTTTGCTGTAAAGTGTCTATTAACCTATCATCACTACAGTACGCTGTATATCATATGTAGTGTTTACTATTGTATGAAAGGTATTTAAACAATTTGTGATTAGACTTGAATCCAAGTTATTGTAAAGGAGTAAAATAAATTGTGCTGTGATGCTACAATGTAATGAAATCCTGTAAAGCAAATATATTCATCTGTATAACTCAGGGATTGTTTTCATGAGCAATTAAGAATTCGTATCTGGCTTCCTTCTTATTCCCGTCAGACTATGTGATGCCGGTCAGTGACACCCCTAATGTTTTCAGTGCAGTACCAGAATCTCAATCTGCTAACATGAGAAAGAAAGAAGTTGCAGGTATTTGTGAAAATATTTATGCCTGGGTGTGAACTTAGGAATGGATTAAATATTCATATGCATAATAAGATTTGTTCTAAATTGACGATGTTAGGACATGCTGTAAATGCTATGCCACACCTTTGTAGTTAAATAAGTGTTCAGTCTTCTTGTGTGTGAAATGCATTTGATGATCATTACTCTATCTTGCATGGAACCCATTCATGGTTGTTGCACAAAGATTATGAATTGAGCAATCCACTGCACATTTTATTTCATTTTGGTTCCACACCATTAGTTTGTTTGGTCAGCTTGTTACAGTAGAGAATAGTATGTGGCTGCAAGTGTCTGTCAATATTTGTTGGCTATATTGTTGTGAAGTTTATGGATGGAAGCAATGTTGCTGCATGGAATGTCTGGTGTCATATCACTTCTTATGAATCTTTTTGAGTGGTATATTAATTTATGCACTGAGCATAATTTAGCATTTTATGAAATGTATGCCATATGTGCTTTTTTGAATTAAGCTATTTTGACTATAATGGAAGAAAATGATTGCTTCTGCTACAGAGCTCCATTAAATCTGGTAATGTAAATGTATTCATCAAAGCAACATACGGGTTGTTTTTGTAAGAAATTAAGAATTTTGTGTCTGGATTCATTCTTAACCCCAACAGATCATGAGGTGCTAACCTCTGACACTCCAAGTATGTTCAGATCAGTCTCAGATTATGACCTATCAATCACTGGCTCTCCGTATGTGTTGAATCCTATCGCAGAACCTGAAACTGCTAAAATAGGAAAGGATAAAATTACAGGTAATTCTGACAATATTTGTCATTTGGTGTGTAGTCAAGAATGGAGTAAATAATAATTGCATGTTGAATTTTTGTATAGTGACAGATATTTAGGACACTTGCTATCAATGCTATGCATAACAATTAGACAAGGTTTGTTTTAGTTTGGTATTTACTGTTTAGTAGGAAACTTTACAATGTAGATGAAATTAATAATCCATTGTGTGAAGCATTTTGCCTATCTGTTATGTTTTTAGTCAGTGTGCTTATTTCAAGAACCTTGGCCAACAGACTTCAAGAAGTTTATCAAGACAATAGAAGGAGTAGAGAATAGATTTGTTAGACTAGCGGTAGGAATGAAACTTCAGTGTTGTGGAGACTCTGGAGAAGTTGGACTGTCCTCCTTGGGGGGAAAAAACGGAATTTTAAAATTTTTTGTTCAAACTTCTGAAAGCTTCAAATGAAGTAATTAGGGAGAATTGGTTTCCATCTGCATGAGAGTCAGTGATGAAAGACCTGACATTGAGGTGATTTGAATAAGAAGCAGAGGTGGTTTGAGAAAAAATGTTACAAATCAGAATGCATCAAATTAATGGGGAGGGGGTGCATTTTTGATAGGAAGATTCAAAATGAATCCAAATAAATATTTTCTCTGTCAACATTTGTAGGGGAGTATACGAAGTGAGGCAAATGAGCTTGTAGCACAGATAGAAAATTGGCAGGTAGGATGTTGTGGGTATGACAGACGTGGCTGCAAATAGCTCAGGTCTGGGAACTAAATATCTAAGGAAACACGCACTATCGAAAGGATGGACAGCAGGAGCAGGGTTGCTTTGTTAGTAAGAAATGAAATTAAGTCGATAGCAAGAAATGATATAGAATCAGGTGGCATAGAATCTGTGAGGGTAGAGTTGAGGAACCGCAAAGGAGAAAAAACACTGGGAGTTATATACAGGCCTCCTAACCCAAAATGTGAGGAAGAAAGTAAATCAGGAGAGAGAAAAAGCATGTAAGAAAGGCACTCTTACAATAATCATGAGGGACTTCAATATGCAGGTGAACTGGGAAAGTCAGGTTGGTAGCAGATCCTGAGAAAAGGAACTCGTGGAATGTCTGAGTGGTTTCTTTGAGCAGTTTGTGGTAGAGCCCACGAGGGAACAGGCAATTCTGGATTTGGTGATATATAATGAGGCAGATTTGATTAGAGAGGTTAAGGTGAAGGAACACCTAGGAGGCAGTGACCATAATAGGACTGCAGTTTAAGAGGGACAAGCTGCAATCGGATTAAACAGTATTACAATTGAGTAAACGTAACTACAAAGATATAAGGGAATAGCTGGCCAGACTGATTGGAAAGGGAGTTTAGCAGGGATGATGGTGGAGCAGCAGTGGCAGGGGTTTTGGAGGTAATTCAGGAAGCACAGCAGAAATTCATCCCTAGGAAGGAGAAACATACTAAGGGGAGGCAAGGCAACTGTGGCTGTCACGGGAAGTCGGGGACAGCGAAAAAACAAAAGAATAAGCTAACAATGTGTTGAAGATTAGTGAGAAGCCAAAGGTTTAGGAAGCCTTTTAGAACCAGCTGAGGATAACTTTAAAAAAAACGATAAAGTGGGAGAAGATGAAACATGAGGGTAAGCTAGCTAGTAATATAAAAGATGGCAAGAGTGTTTTTTTAGATACCTAACAAGGTAGTGGAGAGGCAATGGTGGTCATTGTATTGCTGAAAAATGAGGCTGGAGAAGTAGTAATGGGGAAAAACGAAAAGGTGAAGGAACTGAATAGGTACTTTCACGGTGGAAGACACCAGCAGCATACCAGAACTTTGAGAGTCAGGGACAGAGGTGAGTATAGCAGCTGTTACTAAGGAGAAGGTGCTGGGGAAGCTGAAAAGTCTGAAGGTGGATAAATCACCTGGACCACATGGGCTCCACCCCAGAATTCTGAAGGAGATAACTAAGGAGATTGTATAGGCATTGATGATCTTTCAGGAATCACTGGAATCAAGGAGGGTCCCAGAAGACTGGAAAATAAAAATATCTCATTCCATATTTTACAATAAAACTTGAAATTTACACACTTGTATAGATTGTTAACAACATTATAAATTTTTAACTCCAACAAAAGCAAGTAAGTACATGTAGCAAATAAGATTAGCAATGTTTAAATGTCATAACTAAATAAGTGCAAATTTATTGTACTCTTTAAGCTGTCAATGAACCATCAATGATTTTTTTTTTCATTAGCTTTTCTTGGTTAACCAAATGCTGTGAAGATCGATCAAAGTTTTTTTTAAAGAGTATTTTGACTAGCTTGTAATTCTGTTTTGTACTCAGTTTCCACCTCATTGGTGTAATTGCAAACCAGTACTCTGCTGGCCTCCACATCCTGGCTTATGGATACATATTGATCATGTGACAGGATACAAATGACTTTCACAAAAGATTTTGTAGCTTGAATACTGAAAATTATTTTCTTACTTTTCTTCTGTGTTGATATAAATCAGCTTTCAATGACTTTTAAGTTTCAGATGAATAACCTTGCACATGCACTCTTTATCTAATGCACTTTCTATCCAAGCAATCTGCCACAACCTTTTTCATGCACACATTTTCTTTCCACTGATTCTTCAAAAGCTGAGACTTCATTTTCACCTCTTTATAATTCTCTCCAAATATTTGTTTACTCCTTTACATTCCAATTTATTTTCGGTCTTGCTAATCTTTTCAGTTTACTAACCACTCCAGTCAGTTCCACTGCCCTGGTTTCAGAGTCATGTGCAGAATCCTTACACAAGTCTAACCACTTTGCATGGGCATTCTGTTCATTTTGAAACTTTTTCTCCATGGTTAATGACCCCTTCTCAGACTCTGTTTCGATTTATTCTCAACTCCTCATTCTGCTCCTTAAATTGTTGTGAATTGTTTTTAAAGTCATGGAGTCATACAGTTTATACAGCATGGAAAGAGACCCTTTGGCCCATCGTGTCTGCGCTGGTTTTCAAACATCACTCTGTCTAACTCCATTTTCCAGCACTTGGCCCGTAGCCTTGTGTACTATGATATTTCAAGTGCTCGTCTAAATTGCTATTAAATGTGTTGAGGTTTCCTACTCTTACTACCTTTTCAGCAGTGATTTCCAGACACCCACAACCCCCTGGGTGAAAAAAGATTTCGTCAAATACCCTGTAAACCACCTGTTCCTTACCTTTAAAACTAGCCCCATAGTTATTGATCCCTCTACTACCATTTCTATGCCCTTCAGTGCACCTCGGTCAGATCCCCCATTGTCCTCCCCACTCAGCCTTTTCTACTCTAAAGAAAATAACACCACCTATCTAGACTCTTCTCTCTGGATCTGCTCTTCAATACTACAGATCTGATCCTTTGTGTTCCCCATATTGTATCTGAAGTTCAAAATTTCCATAACTCTTTTAAGATGATAACTTCCAATAGTTTGTAAGTCTGATTTGTAATTCTGCATTCAACCAACTGATCCATCAGCAATTCTGTCTGCTCAAGGTACCTCAGAGAGACTTCAGTTACATAGGAATATGGGAACAGGAGTAGGCCATTCAGCCCCTTGAGCCTATTCTGCCATTCACTGACATCATGGTTAATCTGTGGTCTAACCCCATATATCTGTCTTTGTCCCATATCCCTTTGCTTAACAAAGGTTTAATTATCTCGGATTTAAAATTAACAACTGATCTAGCATCAACTGTCATTTGTGAAAGAAAGTTCCAAACCTCTAACACACTTTTTGTGTAGAAGTGCTTTCTGTCTTCTCTCCTGCACAGTCTTGCCCTAATCGTTGGACTATGTCCTCTAGTTCCAGGATCACCAAGCAATGGAAGTAGTTTCTCTTTGTCAATCCTGTCTTTTCCTGTTAATATCTTGAAGACTTTGATCAGATCACCCCTTAACCTTCTAAATTCTAGAGAAAAAAGCTTAATTTGTGTAACCTCTCCTCATAAGCCCTGAAGTCTAGGTAACATTCTTGTAAACCTATGTTGCACTCCCTCCAAGACCAATATATCCTTTCTAAGGTGTGGGAGCCTGATCTCCTCACAGTACTCCAAGTGGGGTGTGACCAGCGTTTTGTATAACTGCGGCATAACTTCTGCATCTTTATACCCCAGTTCTCTAGACATAAAGGCCAGCATTCCATTAGTTGCCTTGATTATCTTCTGCACCAGTTCATGGCATTTTAAAGAACTATGCACCCGGAACCTCCAAATCTATTGGATATCCACTGTATTTAACTTCGTCTTATCTAGAAAGTACCCGATCTATCTTTTTTAGGTCCAAAATGGATAACCTCACACTCACTGACATTGAAGACCATCTGCCACAGCTCTGCCCATTTATCTAATCTATCAATATCCATTTGTTATTCATCAAGTTTTAATTGAATTTTTTTGTTTGAATTTACTTCTGCAAATTCATCACCTTACATGTTTCAAACTCACATTAAAGTTTTTTACTTTCTGTGACTGATATTCTTTTTTAATATTATTTTTTAATAGCATACTTTCATCTCATGTGAAAGTTGCTTTTCTAAACTGATTGCTTTTTCTTCAGTAGAGTCTAGTTACTGACACTACCTTTTGATATTCTTGCACTTCTGTACTAAACTTTCTTAGTCCTGGGCTAGTCAATTTTTCACTTTATCCCGCAAATCCTTACAAGTTTGGGCTCTAGCTTCAACAAAAGCAGGGAACAGCACAGAATTTTCCACCTGAAAAATTCCTCTTTCACCCCAAATGGGTGTCTAGAAGCTCTCAAACCCTTGTTAGACTCCACTTGGAGTACTGGTTGGAATCCCACCATGGCAGATGGTGGAATTTGAATTCAATGAAAATCTGGAATTAAGAGTCTAATGATGACCATGAATCTATTATCAAATATCATAAAAACACATCTGGCTCACTAATGTCATTCAGGAAAGGAAGCTGCCATCTTTACCTAGGCTACATGTGACTCCAGACCCACAGCCATGTAGTTGACTGTTAACTGCCCGATGGGCAATAAATGCTGGCCTAGCCAGTGACGCTCTCGTCCCATTAATGAATGAATAAAACCTACTCTTAGCTGTACTGAGCTATTAGTTACTTGCCGATTTTTCTGAACTCTAATGAGTTTCCAGAACTTCCCTGAACTCTAACACCATAAACCATCCAACTGCCCTTGGGACTCCTCAGAGTCCAATACACAGAATCAGTGTAGCTCAGTTGTCGTTGAAGCTAAAAACCAGCATTGCCCCTGCCTGGAACTTGCTTCTCTCTCATGTATATATACACAGGCACACTGCAAGTACTTGTCACATTTGAACTGCTCTTCACTGATCTTTGATCTATTTTGGAGTGCCATATTGAAAACCTTGCAATCAAAAACAAGTCCCACCCTTTATTGTTAAGCAGAATCAAACACAGCAAACCATTGGAACGGTCCAAATAAAAACTGAAAGAACTGCAGATGTTGGAAATCAGAAACAAAAACAGAAATTGCTGGAAAAGCTCAGCAGGTCTGGCAGAATCTGTGGAGAGAAATCAGAGTTAATGTTTTTGATCTAGTGACTCTTCCTCAGAACCGCAGTTCTTTTGGTTTTTATCATGGAGGTGGAGGTTGAGCTAAGGATATGGGAGGAGGCGTCTCGAACCCTAAAAATGTTGAACTTGATATTGAGTCCAGAAGGCTGTAGAATTCCCAAGCGGAAAATGAGGTATTGTTCTTCTAGCTTGCGCTGAGCTTTGCTGAAGCACTGCAGCAAGCATGAGACAGAGATGTTGGCCAGGGAACAGGGTGGTATTTTGAAGTGTCTGTTGTATTGTCTGTTTCCTAAATGTTACCATTTCATAGATTGCTGGCTTATATAGTACAAATTACAGATAACAAAATGGTTTAATCACACAAGAATAATAAATGTGTGCAATGTTGCTACATTGTAATGATGATTAATAACATGAATGTACTCGTCATTACAACTTAGATGTTATTTTCATGAGCAATTTAAGATTTTCCTATCTGCCTTCCTTCTTATCCCTGCAGATCACAAAGTGCCAACTTCAGACACTCCTAATGTGTTCAGTTCAATCCCAGAATCTGAATGTGCTAAGATAGGAAAGAAAGAAGTTACAGGTATTGCTGACAATGTTTGTGGCTTGAGTATGGGCACAGGAGTAGAATGAACACTTGCGTGCATGTTATGCATAGTGTTAATGTGACAGACTGTTAGGACACAAGCTGTGGCTGCTATGTTTACTTGAGTATAAAGTGTATTTAATAGTTAGTGAGCTGCCTTGCATGGAATCCATGCGTTTGTTTGTACAAAGTATACAAATTGAGCAATTCATTACATATCTCCTGGAATTTGAGCGTTTTGCTTCTCTCTGTTGGTTCATTTAGTCAACACGCTTGCTTCATGATGTTTAGAGTCTGTGCTTGGCTGTCATTTGTCTGTCGAGTTTTCATAAATCTATGGTTGTAAAGTGTACGGGAAGATGATTTTTACACAGTGGGGGAAAATGGACAGAATTCTCCTGGTGCCTTGGAGGTAGTGGGGTTGGTTGGGGCTTTGGAGAAATTTAGACACTGTAGTTGCAAATGAGGTCAGCTGTCTGATGTGTTCCGACATCCATGCAGCATAGAGCAACCTGGTTACCTTTAGATATTAAAATAATAAAGAACAAAGAAAATTACAGCACAGGAACAGGCCCTTCGGCCCTCCAAGCCTGTGCCGATCCAGATCCTCTATCTAAACCTGTCGCCTATTTTCCAAGGATCTGTATCCCTCTGCTCCCTGCCCATTCATGTATCTGTCTAGATACATCTTAAATGACGCTGTCGTGCCCGCCTCTACCACCTCCGCTGGCAACGAGTTCCAGGCACCCACCACCCTCTGCATAAAGAACTTTCCACGCATATCTCCCTTAAACTTTTCCCCTCTCACCTTGAAATCGTGACCCCTAGTAATTGAGACCCCCACTCTGGGGAAAAAGCTTCTTGCTATCCACCCTGTCTATACCTCTCATGATTTTGTAGACCTCAATCAGGTCCCCCCTCAACCTCCGTCTTTCTAATGTAAATAATCCTAATCTACTCAACCTCTCTTCATAGCTAGCGCCCTCCATACCAGGCAACATCCTGGTGAACCTCCTCTGCACCCTCTCCAAAGCATCCACATCCTTTTGGTAATGTGGCGACCAGAACTGTACGCAGTATTCCAAATGTGGTCGAACCAAAGTCCTACACAACTGTAACATGACCTGCCAACTCTTGTACTCAATACCCCGTCCGATAAATGAAAGCATGCCGTATGCCTTCTTGACCGTTCTATCGACCTGCGTTGCCACCTTCAGGGTACAATGGACCTGAACACCCAGATCTCTCTGTGCATCAATTTTCCCCAGGGCTTTTCCATTTACCGTATAGTTCGCTCTTGAATTAGATCTTCCAAAATGCATCACCTCGCATTTGCCTGGATTGAACTCTATCTGCCATTTCTCCGCCCAACTCTCAATCTATCTATATTCTGCTGCATTCTCCGACAGTCCCCTTCACTATCTGCTACTCCACCAATCTTAGTGTCATCTGCAAATTTGATAATCAGACCATCTATACCTTCCTCCAGATCATTTATGTATATCACAAACAACAGTGGTCCCAATTTGGATTCCTGAGGAACACCACTGGTCACAGTTCTCCATTTTGAGAAACTCCCTTCCACTACAACTCTCTGTCTCCTGTTGCCCAGCCAGTTCTCTATCCATCTAGCTAGTACACCCTGCACCCCATACGACTTCACTTTCTCCATCAGCCTACCATGGGGAACATTATCAAATGCCTTACTGAAGTCCATGTATATGGTATCTACAGCCCTTCCCTCATCTATCAACTTTGTCACTTCCTCAAAGAATTCTATCAAGTTGGTAAGACATGACCTTCCCTGCACAAAACCATGCTGCCTATCACTAATAAGCCCATTTTCTTCCAAATGTAAATAGATCCTATCCCTCAGTATCTTCTCCAGCAGCTTCCCCACCACTGATGTCAGGCTCACTGGTCTATAATTTCCTGGATTATCCTTGCTACCCTTCTTAAACAAGGGGACAACATTAGCAATTCTCCAGTCCTCCGGGACCTCACCCGTGCTCAAGGATGCTGCATAGATATCTGTTAAGGCCCCAGCTATTTCCTCTCTCGCTTCCCTCAGTTACCTGGGATAGATCCCATCCGGACCTGGGGACTTGTCCACCCTAATGCCTTTTAGAATACCCAACACTTGCCCCCTCCTGATGCTGACTTGACCTAGAGTAATCAAACATCTATCCCTAACCTCAACATCTGTCATGTCCCTCTCCTCCGTGAATACCGACGCAAAGTACTCATGGAGAGTAATATCTGTTATGGCAATATACAGTGAGCATTTGAATTCTTCTGTTCCATGGTTGATGATTGGTGCAATGCCTCCTGGCTGGTTCGCCTGCCTGACCCCATGTAACACTCCCACTGGTCTCATAATTGGGACCCGCTGAAATCCCAAAGAATGGCACAGTCGTTAGCACTGCTGCATCACAGCGCCAGAGACTAGGGTTCGATTCCAGCCTTTGCTGACTGTCTGAATGGAGTTTGCACATTCTGCATGTGTCTGCATGGGTTTCCTCCCAAGTCCAAAGATGTGCAGGTTAGCTGGACTGGCCATGGTTGATGCGGGATTATAGGAATAGGTTGGTGGCTAGGTCTGGGTGGGATGCTCTTCAAAGGGCCGGCACATACTCGATGGTCCAAATGGCTTCTATCTACACTGTAGGGATTCTGTGAGTGGACCGTGATGTCCTATGCTCCTGCCACCAGAGCCTACCCCAACCTTCCTGTGCACCTCACACCCATGAGGGTTTGGGCTGACCAATCATTTTGATTCTTGAATAGTTCTGACGACTGCAACATTTTGTCTGCTATTGCTGCAGAGAGTTCCTGTTATTACATCTCGAACTGGTTGGCCAATCAACTCTGGTCGAAATGTTGCTGTGGAGAATGCACCATTCAATAACTGCAGCAATAATTAATTCATTTACATACTTTAAATTCAGCATTATCTGAGGTGCATTATGTGACCTTTGGTTACATTGGATCATTTTGTTCTCTCGTGAAAGCAAAAAAATCAACTCTGCAGCAATGATACATATATGTCCTGTCATGCAAATGTATTCATCAAATCATCTCACCAGGGATTAAAATTTTAGTATTTGGATTCCTCCTTATTGTCAATATACCATGAGGTGCCAATTTTTTGACAGTCCTAATGTGTTCAACTCAATCTCAGACTATGAGTTGCCAGTGATTGATCGTGCATGGAATATCAATCTAATCCCAGGTTTTGAACCTGCTAAAATAGGAAAGAATGAATTTGTAGCTTTTTCTAACAATCTTTGTGACTTGCTGTGAAGTCATTCAATAACAAATTGATGACAAGGTTTGTGACAGTGACAGGTAGATTGGGTACCTGTAGATGCTATGTCACACTTCTACAATTAACAAAGTGTTTATTTTGAGGTTGGTTGGCTCACCGAGCTGGTTTGTTGTTTTGCAGATGTTTCGTTACCATGCTTGGTAACATCCTCAGTGCAGCCTCTGATGAAGCGTTGGTGTGTTTTTCCACCTGGTTTTTAAACTCTGGGGTCCGTTGAGATGGATTGCTCACTTCCAGTTTTCCTTTGTAGTGGAATGTATATGGGGTCGAGTTCAATGTGTTTATTAATAGCATGCTTCGTGGAGTGCCATGCTTCGTGGAGTGCCATGCTTCCAGGAATTCTCGTGCTTGTCTCTGCTTAGCCTGTCCAGGATCTTGGTGTTGTCCCAGTCGAAGTCATGGTTCTCCTTGTCCATGTGGATTGAGATGGTCCATCTCAATGGACCCCAGAGTTTAAAAACTAGGTGGGAAAACACACCGATGCTTCATCGAAGGCTGCACTGAGGACGTTACCAAGCACGGTAACAAAACGTCTGCAAAACAACAAACCAGCTTGGCGAGCCAACTAACCTCAACACCCACAACCCGAGCTACAGATCTACTCCAAAACCATAAAGTGTTTATTTAATTATGCATATAGCATTTTTGGTAGTGCATGGCCTGGCATAGAGCCCATTCAGAGTTGTTGCACAAAGTATATGGAATGAACAATCTGCCGCATATCCCCTGAAATTGACTCATTTTGCTTATCTCCTTTGGATTATTTTGTCAATGCTGTTATTTCAAGAAGATTTAACAGCAAACATCATGAAGGCAATCAAGGTTTTGGAGAGAGTGGAGAATAGATTTGTTAGAATTGTAGCAAGAATGAAAATTTCAGTTTTGAATAGAGGCTACAGAAGCTGTGCTGGCTCTCCTTGTAACCATGAACGTTGAAGAGAAATTGAATAGTTATGTTGAAAATTTGAAGAGGCAAAGTAACTGGGGAGAAACAGTTTCCTCTGTGCAGTTTGTAAAAGCATCAGAAGTAAGAGAGGAATTTTTTTATACAGTGTTATGATCACAAAAGGGTAGAATGCAGTTTCAACTGTAAATGACAAAAGAAAATTAGATGAATGTTGTAATGTAAAATTTGCAGGGCTGTGCAGAAAATTCTGGGTAATGTGAGAAATTTGATAGATTTTACAAAGATCTGACACAGACATAATGGGATGAACCAGCACCTCCAAACGCTCGGATTCCATAATTTAAACACTACAATTGGCTGTAACAAGATTCTCATTTTATTACAGCTATAATGTATGCAGCTTTTATTTGATGAAAAGCACTTTTAATGTAGTGGAAAGAATGCTGCCGATTTAGTTTTGTTCTTTTTTTGGATAATATTGAGTTAATTAGTCAGTGCACTGTCAGATTGAACCATAGAGGCATTGCAGTTTACAGCACTGAAAGAAGTCTGGACCTGCTCATTGAAACAGCATTTATGTTTAGTGGCACATCCCCTATTTTTGCACATAATCCTGTCCATTCCCTATCCTCAATGACTCATCCATCCTCCATTATTTAAGAAATCTGCTTCCACAACATTTTATGTGTAGAAAATTTCAGATTTTAACAAGCTTCCAAGCGAAAAAAAAACTCCTTTTCTTCAGATTGTTTGTCATGATTTTGAATCTAAAATTCTTTGGTTATTAACCCACATAATGGAATGGAAAGCAGTAAATTGTTTATTCTTATCACCATTGCTGTGATCTTCAAAGCCTCTCTTAGGCCAGCTAGTAAATCTAGTCCCATTTGCCAGCATTTGGCCCATATCCCTCTATACCCTTCCTATTCGTATACCTTGCTATTCCACACAGTCTTAACTTTTCTAATCTCCCTTTGTAACTAAAATCCTTCAACCTTGGTGACATCCTGGTGAACCTTGCTAAGGCCATACATCTTTCCAGAAAGGTTGGACCCAGAACTGTTCGCAATTTTCCAGCTGAAATCTACCTTTTGATTGAGAAATGTTGAAACTGGTCCTTTGTGTTTGCTTTCGCTTACTTATTTATTAAATTTGATTTTTGTTTAACCTCTTTCTAAAGATGCCTTTTCAGCTATGTCCCTCTAACTTCTGCTTGCTGTATTTGACGTGCTTGTTGCACTACATGGTCCTTTAACAGTTGATAATCAGCTACACATAAGGACACCTTAAAGGGAATGTTCTCTGTGTTCAACTGTTTGTTACTTGCAGCAGACTCCTGACTGTTGCATGGGATCATGCAACTCAGAGAGAATGGTTCACCACTTTAATAGAATTTTTTAAATAGATACATAGGCCCCTGTGCTCTTCTTAGCAAGGTTACTTAAAGTGTACTGCTACACCATATCAATCCACCCAAATTTCATTACTTCAAACTTCTCCTCATTGAATTCCATCTGCAAAGTACTTCACCACCCTGTTTATAACATTTTGAAGCCTTTAAATATTCTCATCCACCTTCTAGTTTGCCAATTTCAAACTATCAACAGACTTTATAAAGTTGATCCCTCTGCATGATTGCAGATTCTTGACAAATGTTGCAAGAAACAATTAGTGGATCCAAAAGTGACCCTTGGCAGATGCCACTGAAAATATTCTGAAAAACATTCATCTACAACGCCACCCTCTGCGTTCTATTACTTGGCAAATTTTGTATTCATAACTCGATTTTTCACTTGAACTTCAGTTTAAACCCTTCCATTGTCTTAATAGGTATCCCTTATGGCACATTTGTTCAATGTCTTTTAGAAGGTCCAAAATACAAATTCTGCTACACTACCTATCAGCCTTCAATCTTATTGCATCAAACAATTAAATCAGATTAGACAGACGTGATTAGCTTTTAACAATCCATTCTAACTCTCTCTTTGATTTTTTTTTAGAATTTACCCATTGCATGTGGGCATCGCTGGCTGGGCCAGCGTTTATTGCCAGTCCCTAGTTGTCTGTGAGAAGGTGATGATGAGCTGCTTTCTTGCACTGCTGCAACCCACACTTCAGAGGTGCCCTTGGGGAGGGAGTTCCGGGATTTTGACCCAGAGACTGTAAAAGAACTTTAATTGACCTCTGCTTTCCGAATGCAAGTATATGTTGCCCTTGATAATGGTTTCCAGTCACTTCCCCACAACTGATTTTACATGGACTTGCCTGCAGTTTTCTGATTTATAGTCATATGGCACATACAGCGCAGAAACAGATCCTTTGGTCCAATTTGTCCATTCCGACCAGATATCCAAAATAAATCTGGTCTCTTTTGCCAGCATTTAGCCCTCTATACCCTTCCTATTCATATACCCATCCAGATGCTTGTAATTGTACCAGCCTCCACCACTTCCTCTGACAGTTCATTCTGTATATGCACCACCCTCTGCATGAAAAAGTTACCCCTTATATCCCTTTTTAAATCTTTCCCCTCTCACCTTAAACCAATGCCCTGTAGTTTTGGATTCCTTGAAAGTGAAGTCGCAGGTAGATAGGATAGTGAAGAAGGTGTTTGGTATGCCTGCTTTGATTGGTCAGTGCATTGAGTATAGGAGTTGGGAGGTCATGTGCGGCTGTACAGGTCATTGGTTAGACTGCTATTGGAATAATGTGTGTATTTCTGGTCCCCTGCTATAGGAAGGATGTTGTGAAACTTGAAAGGGATCAGAAAAGATTTACAAGGACGTTAAGCTACAGGGAGAGTGGGATAATCCAAAACTAGAGGGCATTGGTAACTATCCAATCATACAGCAGTACTGCAATACGCAGTGTGTATTTAAAGTGTGTGAACAGTATGACTTTTTTTTCTGCCTTTGCTTCTATTAGTTAACCTTGAATGCATCATGTAATGTTTATTATTTTATGAAATGTGCTTTTAGGCATGTAGTGTATGATTGTCCTGGAATCTATTAAGGTCAAAATAATGAAAGCATAAGAGCAATTCTGCAACAATCCTGCATAGTAATGATGTTCAGTAAATCAGATGTTTTAATTACTACAACTCAAGAGCTCTGTTCACGAAAGGTTAAGAATTTTGTACTTGGCTTCCCTCTTATTCCCAGCAGACCATGTGGTGGCAACCTCTGACACTCGTTATACATTCAGTTCAATCTCAGACAATGAACTGCCAGTCACTGACACTTCTGATGTATTCAATCCAATCCCAGAATCTGAACCTGCTAAAATAGGAATGACTGAAGGTACAACTACTTCGCACAATATTTCTGCCTTGGGTGTGAACTGAATAATGTAACAAATAATAATAAGTGCATGTTGAGATTTGTGCAAAAGCCTGAAAAAGTTCAAACACATGCCTGGGTGCTTTCACACTTATACATTAAGTGACTGTTGAATTCACTTGTGCATAAAACATATTATAATTACTCTGCTGTTTTTGCCTGCAATTCATGCAACTTTGTGGCACAAATTATTATCAAATGAGCAATTCAGCGCAGATCTCTTGGAATTTGTCTGTGTTCTGCTTGTTTTTGTTGGTTCTTTTGAACATTTTTAGCATGGCTAAAAACTGTCTGATAAACTGTCACAGCTATATTGTTATGAAGGTAACAGACAAGAATTAACCTTTACCAAGTAGAAGCAATATTGCTGCATGGAATATCTGTTGTCATATCACTGTTATATGAAGTTCATTTGAGTTATATTGAAGTACTCAACACTTTGGTATTGTATAGAAGATATTATTTGTTCTGCCACTCATGACTACATTTAAATACGTTTAATGCTATTACAGTGAAAGAATAAGGCCAATTCTGCAATTCAAATGGTGTCTGGTAACACAAATGTATACAACTGTATACCTCCACTGTTATTTCCTTCAGTATCAAAAATTTTGTACCCGGCTTCCTTTTTCATATTTTAAGGCTATCGTGTACCAACTCCTGACACTGCTCATGTGTTCAGTTTAATCTTAGACTGAGTTGCCAATCTTTTGATACCACAAATGTTTTCAGTCCAATATTAGAATCCGAACTAGCTAAGATCGGAGAGAAAGACTTTGCAGGTATCTCTGAGAATATTTGTGCCTTGTGTATGAACTCAAGAAAAGAGTAAAAATTTCTTACCATCATGTGATTAGTAGTAAACTGAAAGAATGGTAGGATACATGCTGTCAATTGTATTATTCTTACAATTAAGTAAGTATTCACTTTATCTGTGTGTTTTATAGCCAACTCACTGTCTTGCATGGAACCCATTCATTATTCTTGTGCAAAATATATGAAGTGAAAAAAAATCACTGCACATTTCACAGAATTTGTGCACTTGGCTTATTGCTGTTGGTTTTCTTGGGCTGCATGCTAATTGTATGTTTGGTTGTAAAGTGACTATCAGCATTTCATGGCTATATTGTTTTGAATTTCAATTATGATTAAGAAATACATTTTGTGTAGTTAAAACAACATCACTGCATGGAGTGCCTGTTGTCAGTGTTCTTCTTCTTATATGAATTGTTTTGAATAACTATTAATTTAATTCATCAAAATATTATGCTGCACATTGTTCAGTATTATACAAAATGTAATTTTGTGTGTACAAGGTATGACTACATTAAAACCCATTGTTTGCTGTCATCGTTAAATAACATAAACCAATTCTGTGACAGATTTACACTAATGGCCAGTGATATAAAGTGTTTTTTTATGTCATGTGACCAATCAGCCATGTCTCATATGATGCTTTAAAAGTTGTTTTCTAATTTAAAATCAAAAACCGTTGATCTTTTCCAGTGATCAATTGTGCAGTGCCTGATTACACAATCTTCCGCTTAGTGCAAAAGCTACAATACTTGGTTTCAGCTTTACATTTACTTTATCTCCTTCCTTACCTAGAATGCAATTAAATCCATACCTTGATGTAACAAGCCAGTTACACTGGGAGCATATTCTTTTGGACTAGCCACTAGCATTTAACATCTACAGCAGATCTAGTGTTGTTTTTGGAAGAGGAAACAGCGGCTTCACTGGGTTCATTTATCTATTACAGACTATGGGTTCTCAACATCTGACACTGCAATTGTGCCAAGTCCAAGCCCTGTACATGAGACAGGAGAAAAAGAATTAACAGGTATTCCCAAAGCTACCTCTGGCATGGCTATAAATAATATGATGTGATTGTGCAAATAATTTTGTGTCTGTGGCTTACATTTTCATCATTTTGCATGTTTTCTTCTCTTCATGGTCTGATACCTTTTAATTATCCTTTTATGGAGCAGCCTGTACTGTTTGTTCAGCGTTTGTATGTGACAATACTAAATAAAACTGATGCATGCTACAAAAGCATTTCACGCAAATCTGGGGAGTATCAGATCATATTGGAATTATTAACATTTATTCTTAAGAACAAAATAGTGTGTGGAAAAATGCTGGTCTGACACCTTCAGTATATTTGAAATTGGTGCATGAATCAGTTGCAATAATAATTCAGGTTTGTAAGTTTTCATACATACATACATGCTACGAAGAATTTTCACCTGGGCTTTCTCAATTTTAAGGTATGAACTTAAGAGATGTCAGATGACAATATAAATTAAAAGCATTTTTTTTTCCACAAATGATATCCCACATTTTTAAAATTTCATTTGATGAACTAATGTTTTGTGTTGGACTTCAATGTATTCGTTATGCAGTGTATTATTAACAGAACTGTTCTGAAGGGTCACTGGACCTGAAACATTAACTCTGCTTTCACTCCATAGATGCTACCTGACCTGGTGACTTTTTCTAGAAATTCCTGATTTTGTTTCTGATTTCCAAAATCCGCAGTTCTTTGTCTTTTTTTTAATTATTAAGGAAATTTCAGCTTGATCTGAATAACAGAAATCATTATTTTTAACTTGCTGTTTTGAACAGGCATGTGATCACTCATCTAAAGTTCTTAAATGTTTTAATCATTCTTTAGTTCTTGGCATGAACAGGAAAGCCATGGTGAATTTTCTGCCAGGTGAAGGTACCGGAAAGAGGACCCGGGATAAAATAGATCTTGAGTCACATGGCATTTAAGTACTTTTACATGTTTTCTGGTGGAAGGAAGAACAGATGCACTCTTCCAAGCACCATGAGCAAAGTTAAGTCCTCGACCGTCCTGAAATCTAATTATCTACTCAAATGCCGATGATCATTCCTTCAGTTTCAGAATTCTGTTCAGGGTCCTGCACAGTTCTACGTTCCCTAGGCTACCTTTCCACTAGCAGTTACGGCTTTCCCCATGGCATTGCTGAATGCAAGAGGCTAGCAGCTCCTGCTGCGTGGGACTTTTTCTTCCCTAGGGTTTTGATTCAAGGGAAGCCATGCTGGTGCCCTTGTGTGGATTGCTTAGATTGCCTTGATCGGTTGGCATGTGATTAGGTGGATTTTCCCAAAGTTATCCATTCAGCTGAGAAGACCTTAAAATCTCAACAGGATCCTGTCCTGTATTTCAATAAAAGCTTTGCCAGGCAAATATTCTTTACATCACAATATGTAAATATTGTTGTAGCATTCAGTAACTGCCATCTTTTCTTAGTTATGCTCACATGATGTTGAATGGATGTATGTGCCTCTCGGGAGGTTTTGTGGATTTTGTTTTGGTAACTTATTAATAGCTAATAAACTTATAGAACTGAAGTTGTAGTTCTAGTGCTAAAGGGGCAGTTTTCAACAATCTGTTGACTCACTGGCAACACAGGGGTCAACCCTTGTAGGATTTTGAAATCAATATATATGCACCAGGAGCTTCCAGCCCAGACTGGCCTGCCTACAGGTGTTCCTTTCATCAGGAATAAGCTGTAAGTAAATATAACTGAGGCTTTTAAAGGCTGCAACTAATACTTAAGAAAGGTCAAATAAAAGCAAAGTACTACTGGGATGCTGGAGATCAGAAATGAAAGCAGAATGTGCTGGACAAATTCAGCAGTTCTGGCGCCATCTGTGGAGAGATGTACAGAATTAATGATTTGAGCCCAGTCTGTCAGTTCATTATTGCTGAGCTGAAAAGTGCATGAGAGCGAATCCTTCTCTCCTGTTTGGGATTTCTGGCCACCTATTGTAAAACCTGCTTAGCTAGATACAGCAGAAAATGAATTTCCCTTGACTTTTTTCCACATTTTTTTTTTTGTGATAATTTGGAGCAGATAGAAAATAGACCATGGTACATTGCACCTCAAATGAAGAAACTCCCCAACTTTGGGTAGATGTGTTACTTTGTGGGGTAATGTCATAAGTCAAATTTTCCATCATGTTTTCCCTACCTAATGCTGGATGTGAGGAATAGCATTACATCATAGGTGTCTAGCAATGCTAGACAGAATGGAATATTTTGATCAACCTGGCAATCATATTCACTAAGTGGCGAGCGCCCAAGCAAATCTGCCTCAGTAAACCAACTCCTGTGACTGTGCCACAGCCACCAATGAGCTCAGTGGATCAATTCCAAGCCTGCCTGTCCACCACTCTCACAGTAATTGGGGACAATCCCAGCCACAAATAATGGCTCTCCATGGGTAACTCAAATGGTATGCAGCTGAAAGAATCCAAGTGAGATGTACCTTGAGTCCACCCTCACTTTCCGGTTTTGGGTGCTTTTCCTGTCATGACCTTGTTCTGGTTATATTACCCATTGTGCTGGGAGTGTGTCAAGTGGAACGACCATCTTTTCACAGAGATTTGCAGGTTGAGGCATGACTGCCCTATTTAGTTGAAGAGCTATCTGGCAACAATCTGGGGAGAAAAAGAGCTCCCAGCTATGATGGTGATGTGATTAAAAAAAAATCTTGCTGCAGCAAGTGCAATATGAGACAAACCTCTACTTATACAACAAATATCTGGTTGTCGAGGCACTAAGCTGTCATTATTGCAAACAAAAAAATGATTTCACCAGAACAATCAAGATGTGTATGCACTGCTCCAACTAATACCATCACAAACTGTCTCTTTGCACCCAAACATTCCTTCCACTTGTGTTCATCCACTTGGATGCCCATAAAATTGCCTTGAGTATTCTCCAAGCTCTATTACAAAAATTAACTACTTCAGGTGCTGGAACTCTGAAGCAAAAATAAAAACAAATTGCTAGAAATGCTCAGCAGCTCAGCCAAAGTCTGTTGGGGAGAAACAGAGTTAAAACTTCAAGTTGGTGAGAGGTGTAGAGAACCTTGAAATGGGCCATGTCTGTCATTTCTTCATCTCCTGCCAACATGTCCAGACTTCATCCCTGGATTTGGAGGGCCACTTCCTTGAAATAGATGAGAGGAAGCAAGGAGACAGTCCACTGGTGGTCATCCTTTTCCTCGTATTAATTGCTCAGTTCTGCTTTGGAAGACATAATATACTTAGTTACCCATAGCAATGTGAAAATCTCCAAGTCTGCAAAAATGGTGCTGGATTTTTCTGGTTCATTGATGATGGGCTGGGAGATGGGAGGGCTGGCAGAATGGTAGGGACACATTGGCAATGAAGCAATGTCTTTCCATAATCAGGTTTTTCCCAAGGTGAGAAAGTTGGCAAAGTCACCTAAGTAGCCGATGTAGGGCCACCTCCTGCCCTTGGTAGCATTTGCCTACGTCGGAAGAGCCTCCTGGCACATGGGGAGATTTCCAGGTAAACCCTGGTGGCCCCCCAGTGGGTTGCATAGTTGGCGTGGTTGGGCCTAATATGTTTATGAGCACTGCAAGGCCCATGGCAGCAATGAGCATCCTCTTAGTCATTGCCACTTTTGATGCTTCACGTCCAGGGTGATCGTCAGAGCCTGCCTGGCCTTGGCTTTCACATTTACCTTTCTTCAAGGGTACCCCACTATTCAGGCGCCTTCTCCATAGTTATGCAGCATCAGCACCACTACTGATGGCATTGCTAACATTGCAAGCCCTTTGGTGCTGCAACTTGCAGAGATAGACTGCTATTTTTAATTGGCTTACAGTTTGCTATTGCCCTATGGAATTGAATTCTACAGATGTAGGAATTTGGATAGGCGTGATTCCTTAATTTTCACATGGGAATATACTATGTTCTCCGATTATCATTCAGACTGTGTTGTCTGAATCAGCCACATACCAAACTGAAAAAGTCATTGCATATAACACAGCAGGTACTTAGGACAAAATATTAAAATGTGGCTGCTATAGGCCCTTGCAGTGCTGAACTGTAAGACAGCCTGACTAGTTATTGCTGCGAATATTTTACAATTAGAAAAGACAAAGGCATCATCCATTGCCAGCTCCACCTTGTGGCTTCCACTCATGTATTGAGGGACTGGAAGTAGACGTCATTTCAACAATGAAATTGATATCCCTATGAATTGAAGGTTTTTATGATAGTGGTAGAAATATTCAAGTCAGTTTAAAAAACTAATGGCCTCTGCTGTGAGGGGTTGTGCTGCATTTAATCCTGGTAACTGACTGCACATGCCTGAATTTTGTGGGTGACAATGAAATCCCACTGTCAGAGTTGAAAGATGGAGCTGACTCTGCTTTGCAGGACCCAGGGTGACAGAATAAGGCTGCAAACCACTGATAACCCACACTTGATGCTGCTCCTCCATGTCTCTTCTGGGACTTCAAAATAATGTCACCATCAGTAAGGCCCATATTCCACTTTGGATTGGGCCATAGAGGTGATGACAACTCACCCCTCCATTTTATAATGATCCTAATACTGGGCTGATTTTAGACAGTTTCAGGTCCTTTAAGGTCAATTGCAAACTGAAATCACATCTGAAAATGGGCCGTAATGAGAGTTTGCCCCAGTTATTCCACACGGTGGTTAATGTACTCATGTATTTAATGTTGCCTGACCAGTTTAAAATAAGTTGGTGTGTATTAGAACACATGGTTTCTTGGTCTTCTAAGTATATTCCAATAATTTGTTTGTGACCATAATTCATTTGCAGTAACCAACCAAATTAAAGTTGGAGAAATTATTTAAATTATCATCTTTAAACAGGACTATAAATGGTAACAACAAAAGTAGTAACTGCAGCATATTTGTGGAATCTTTCAGCCCTGTGTGAAATTTTAGCATTCACCATTATATAATGTGTTGCATGGCTTTTGAGGACTTTGTTTGCCTGAATTCAGTTGGATAACCAATTAACGGTTTACTTCCTCGATTTTAGAGAGAGTGCTTGTCTCAGAAACAGAGAAGCAAATTGCTGCTCATTTTGGTGAAAAACACAATGTTTGCTATTGGTTTTATTGCCCCTTACAGACAATAAGCTGACACACCCTGATACTTCTCATGTATTCATTCCAACCCTTGGTAACATTGAAGACAAAGAAATCACAGGTATTTGCTAACCTATGATATAAGTACAAATGCTGTCATTTGGCATTTATAGAATATATTCATGTGTGTAACACCTTATTTATTTTACATTTGAATTACTGTTGTAACTTATGTGCTGTCCACTTATTTTATAGTAAATTGAATCCTATGAGAATATGTCACTTTGATACAGACAGGAAACAATAAGTAAAGATATTGTTTATTTTTATGAACATTTGCTACAGATAATGTTGCACTTAGGTTGTCAACACGTTTCAACCAAAGTCAAATTGAATAAAGAATTTACACTTAATTCTTTAAGGCTTGGATTAAGAAATGGAATCCATGTGCACCTTCTGTCTGGTAAACATGTGCACCATGGTTAGTAAACTCTGGTTTATTTTTGAGGAAATTGCATTGAATGACAAAATGGCTTGGAACTCATTAGGCCTTTGATGTGATGGCATAGGAACAATGGATAGGACCTTTGCCAGTCACAGTTGGAAGAGGCTGACTTGGTCAGAGAATATCGGATCAGCTAATTTAAATAATGCTAGTGTCAAAGTTGAGAGCCAACAAGACTTAAAGGGGTGGGGGGAAGGGGGGGAAGTAGAGCAAGGACGCAACTGATTTTCAGTCTATAGATTCAGTTAAAGAGCTGATCATGCCTTTGAGAAAAGTCTAAATAGTTGGTGCAACAGAAGAAAAGGCAAAGCAACTTGGCTGATGTAGAAGTGCTACTCTCTAGGTTCAATGAAGAAAGGATGCAGTAGTTGAAATATGAAGGAATATGGATTGAGCCATAGAGCTATACATCATAGAAATAGGCCCGTCAGCCCACCATGTCTATTCCAAGCAATAAACACCAAACTACAGTAATCCCACTTAACCTGCTCTTGGTCCATAACCAACTATGCCACACGCAAACTGGAGGAGCAACACCTCCAGTTCCACCTCGGGAGCCTACAGCCCCATGGCCTGAACATAGAATTCACCAGTTTTGAAATCTTTGAAATCAGTTTTGAAATGTTTCTTAAATGTTGTGGGAGTACCTGCCTCTACCACCCTGTCAGTCAGCAAGTTACATGTCTCTATCACTCTTCTGGGTGAATAAGAAATTCTGAGATCTCCTCTAAGCCACTTACTCCCACTTTAAACTTTTGTCATCTGATCTTAGACACGTCTGCCATGGAAAAGAAATTCTCATAATCAGTTCTGTCTATGCCTTTCATAATCCTATACACCTCAATCAGATCTCTCCTCTGCTCCAGGAAAAACGAATTCAGCCTATCAAGTCTCTCTTCATAACAGACTTTCTATCCCAGGCAACATCCTGGTGAATCTCCTCTGCACCCTCTCCAGTGCAATCACATTCTTCTGATAATGTGGCAACCAGACTGCACGTGGTATTCCATCTGTAGTCTAACTAATGTGTTACAAAGTTGTAACAAGACTTCCTTGCTCCTATATTCCATGCCCTGACTAATGAAGCCAAGCATTCTATTACTGTTGCTATTACATACACTTGGTTAAGGGAGGGACAGGATTGGTAGCTTAACGTTCCAGTATACAGATGTTTCAGGTGGGATACAGGGGATGTAAAAGGAGTGGAGGAGTTGTACTACTTGTTAAGGAGAATATCACAGCTGTACTGTGGGAGGACACCTCAAATGGCACATATAGCAAGGCAATATGGGTAGAGCTACAGGAAGAGTGCAATCACAATGTTTGGGGTTTACTATAGGCTTCCCAACAGGCAGCAGGAGATAGAAGAACAGGTGTGTAGGCAGATTTTGGCAAGATGTAAAGGTAAGAGGGTTGTTATTGTGGGTGATTTTAACTTCCTATCTATTGACTGGGACTCATTTAGTGTTTGGGGTGAGGATGGGGCAGAGTTTGTGAAGAGCATCCAGGAGGGCTTCTTGAAACAGTAGGTAGATAGTCCAACTAGGAAAGGGGCTGTACTGGACTTAGTATTAGGGAATGAGCCTGGCCAGGTGGTTGACGTCTCAGGGGAGCAGCTCACGAACAGTGATCACAATTCGGTAAGCATTAAGGTACTGAAGGATAAAGGTAAGTGTAGTTATCAGGTAAAAGTGTTAGATTGTGGGAAGGCTAATTACAACAACATTAGGCAGGAACTGAAGAATGTAGATTGGAGGCAGACGTTTGAGGGCAAATCAACATCTGGCATGTGGGAGGCTTTCAATTGTAAGTTGCTGGGAACTCAGGACTGGCACATTCCTGTAAAGATGAAGTATAAGTATGGTAAGTTTAGGGAAGCATGGGTAACGAGAGATATTGTGAGCCGAATCAAAAAGAAAAAGGAAGCATTTGTCAAGGATAAGAGGCTGGGAACACACTAAGCAAGGGTGAAATACAGGAAAGTCAAAAGAAACTTAAGCAAGGAGTCAGGACGGCTAAAAGAGGTCATGAAAAGTCATTGGCCGACAGGATTAAAGAAAATCCTAAGGTTTTTATACATATATAAAGAGCAAGAGGGTAGCCAGGGAGAGCGTTGTCCCACTCAAGGACAGGGAAGGGAATTTATGTGTGGAACCAGAGGAAATGTGTTAGGTATTAAACTTTGCGCCAATATTCACCATAGAGAAGGACTTGGTGGATGATGAGTCTGGGGAAGGATGTGTAAATAATTTGGGTCATGTTGAGATCAAAAGGGAGGAGGTACTGGGGGGTCTTGAAAAAACATTAAGGTAGACAAGTCCCCAGGGCCTGATGGGATATACACCAGAATACTGAGAGAGGCAAGGGAGGAAATTGCAGGAGCCTTGAGGGAAATCTTTGTATCTTCACTGGCTACAGGAGAGGTCCCAGAGGATTGGACAATAGCCAGTGTTGTTCCTTTGTTTAAGAAAGGTGGCAAGGATAATCCAGCTAATTACAGGCCGGTGAGCCTTACGTCAGTGGTAGGGAAATTATTGGAGAGGATTCTTCGAGACAGGATTTACTCCCACTTGGAAATATGTGGGCGTATTAGCAAAAGGCAACATGGTTTTGTGAAGGGAGGGTGGTGTCTCACTAACTTGGTTGAGTTTTTTGAGGAAGTGACAAAGATGATCGATGAGGGTAGGGCAGTGGACGTTATCTACATGGACTTCAGTAAGGCCTTTGACAAGGTCCCTCATGGCAGGTTGATACAGCAGGTAAAGCCCCATGGGGTCAGAAATGAGCTTGCAAGATGGTTAAAAAAACTGGCTCGGTAATAGAAGACAGAGGGTAGCAGTGGAAGGGTGCGTTTCTGAATGGAGGGCTGTGACTAGTGGCGTTCCTCAGGGATCAGTGTTGGCACCTTTTGCTGTTTGTAATATATATAAGTGATTTAGAGGAGAGTATAACTGGTTTGATTAGTAAGTTTGCCGATGACACAAAGGTTGGTGGAACTGCGGATAGCGATGAGGACCGTCAAAGGATATAACAGGATATAGATCAGTTGGTGACTTGGGCAGAGAGATGGTAGGTGGAGTTTAATCTGGAAATATGTGAGGTAGTGCATTTCGGAAGGTCAAATCCAGATGGAAAATATACAGTAAATGGCAGAACCCTTGAGAGTACTGATAGGCAGAGGGATCTGGGGGTACAGGTACACAGGTAACTGAAAGTGGTAATGCAGGTGGAGAAGGTAGTCAACAAGGCATACGGCGTGCTTGCCTTCATCAGCAAGGGCAATGAGTTTAAAAATTGGCAGGTAATGTTGCAGCTTTATAGAACCTTAGTTAGACCACATTTGGAATATTGTGTTCAATTTTGGTCGCAACACTACCGGGTGGTGGCTTTGGAGATGGTACAGAAAAGATTTACCGGGATCTTAGATAACAAGGTGTAGAGCTGGATGAACACAGCAGGCCAAGCAGCATCAGAGGAGCAGGAAGGCTGATGTTTCGGGCCTAGACCCTTCTTCAGGATGTTGCCTGGTATGGAGGGCATTAGCTATGAGGAGAGGTTGGAGAAACTTGGGTTGTTCTCGCTGGATCGACGGAGTTGAGGGGTGACCTGATAGATGTCTACAAGATTATGAAGGGGGTGGACAGAGTGGACAGTCAGAAGCTCTTTCCCAGGGTGGAAGAGTCAGTTACTAGGGGCCATAGGTTTAAGGTGCGAGGGGCAAGGTTTAAAGGTGATGTACGAGGCAAGTTTTTTTACACAGAGAATGGTGGGTCCCTGGAACTCGCTGCCGGGAATGGTAGTGGAGGCAGATACTACAGTGACTTTTAAAGGGTATCTTGACAAATACATGGATAGGATGGGAATAGAGGGATACGGTCCCCGGAAGGATAGTGGGTTTTAGTTGTGATGGATAGCATGTCAGTGCAGGCTTGGAGGGCCAAAGGGCCTGTTCCTGTGCTGTAATTTTCGTTGTTCTTTGCTTATCCTGTAGGCATCCTTTGCCACTCTATTTACCTGTGTTGACTCCTCCAGGAACCTATGGACTTGTACACCATGGTCCCTTTGTTCCTCAGTACTCCCGAGGGACGTGCCATTCATGATGTATATCCTGCCCTTATTAGACCTCTCAAAGTGCATCACCTTTTCAGGATTAAATTCTGCCTTTGCTGTGCCCAATTTACCAGCTAACCAATATCAGACTGTAGACTGAGACCACTCCTCACCATCAAAAATGACACCAATTTTTGTGTCATCTGCAAAACTTACTTCTTATACCTTCTACTTTAACATCCAAGTTGTTAATGTACATAACAAACAGCAAGTGACTCAGCACCATTCCTGTGGTACACTGCTGGTCATGGGCTTCCAATCACAAAAGCATCGCTCCACCATCAATCTTGTAAGCCAATTTTGTATTATTTTTTCCAACTTGTCTTGGATCCCATGGGCTGTTTTCTTTTGGAGCAGCCTTCCATATGAGACCTTCTCAAAGGCCTTACTGAAGTCCATGTAAACCCTATCAACTACACTACCCTCATCAATGTATTTAGTGACCTTTAAAAAAACTCAGTTAAATTAGTAAGGCAGGATCTCCTCCAGAATATCCCTGATCAATC